TGAAAAACAAAGGCATATGCAACGTTGTTTCTCTCCACAACACTCAAACACAGCAAAGCGTAGCAAATACACTTATTGAGCAGGGACTTGCAAGAGTAGCAACTTCATCTACGAGGCAAAACTCTGATGTGTTCCCCGAGTCTTTCATCTACTCTTCATTTGACCTAAGTCCTGGAGATGAAGAACAGGTCTATGTTACGCATGTCAACAGCCAGTGTGAAGTCTACTGCCACCTTGAGAGGAACACAGAAATCATTGAAGAACTCGAGATTAAAATCTTAGAGGCAACTGAAAACATGCAAGACAGGACAGGAGCTGTTGTGAGAAAGATGTGTCTCGCAAAGTACTTGGATGGCAAATGGTACAGGGGTGTAACCCTAAGTGTTCAGTCGTCTCTGCATGTTGGCGTTTTCTTTGTTGACTACGGAAACACAAACATATCAGAGAAAAAGTCTGTCATGTTTATTTCCAGAAGCTGTGAAGACCTGTTGTATACGCCAATGCAGGCTGTAAGATTCAACCTCCATTCAGTGCCCACAGAGGAACTCTATGCAGACGCCTTGGAGTGGCTCAGCAATGCAGTCCTCAATAAGCTGGTGAGGGTTGTTGTTCGAGGAAAGAGGGATGATGGGTCATTTGATGTTGAGCTGTTTGATGGAGAGATCAACATCAATGAGAAGGTGAAGGAGCTCATTTTGAGTCTTTCCCAGAAACCAGAGACTGCAGTCAGATTTTCTGTAAGCTGCGGAAAAACAAAAAAGCAAAACCAGCGCATGAAATGTGAATTTGGCGCATTCAAAACTCTTCTAAAAGTGCACAGTGCATCTCCATTTAAAGCAATCAGTGCAAAACTGAAAAACACCAAAAATTCTGCAGTTGGTAGTGCCCCAACCAGGAAGGCAAGAGGCAAACAAGAACTTGTGAAAAATCAAAGGAGGACTGGTCCTATAAAACCTCAAATCAAGTCCACAAGTGGAAACCAACATACAATGCAAACACAGCACAGACAGAAAAAAAGAATGCCCCAACTGGTGCGGATGCCATATAAAAAGATAAATCCTGGATGTAGGGTAAAATGTTTTGTGTCTCACATTGACTCCATCAGTAGGTTTTACCTCCATGTGTCAGATGACGAATCTGCCATCCTGAAACTGGGCGAAGATCTCAACGCAAGTGTCTTCAAAGATTCCTTGAAGCTGGCCTCACCCTTGACTGTCAGTGATGCTGTTTTGTCAGAGTTTGAGGAGGATGGTGCTCTGTATCGTTCAGTTGTGAAGAACCAGGAAGATGATTCCTCCTACAAGGTGGAGTTTGTGGACTATGGAAACTCAGCATTTGTAGAAAAGGAAAAGATCTACTTTCTACCGGAGCAGTTCCTGTCCCAGCCAAGGTTTAGCATTCCATGTTCACTGATTAATACATGCACCTATAGAGATGAAGCTTCTTTCATCGATGCTGTGACAGAGAAGCCACTCTTGGTTGAGTTTGTTTGTCAGATTGGGGATCAGTGGCAAGTCAAGGTTGAGCTTCTTGATGGAGAATCTGAAAGCGATGCAACACTTAATAGCACCTCTGTAGCAAAAAGCAAAGAGGCGACTCCATCACTTTTATCTGATTTCACTCCAAGCACAAGTCCCTGTATAAAGAACCTCAGAGAAGAAAGTCAGCAAAGTGAAAAGTACAGAGAAGCAGCAGCCACCATAAAGAATAAGGGTTTGATGCCAGAAACATCAGCCAAGCAGAAAGTCCAAAACACCAGGAGGGGTAGACAAAAATACTGCAGAAGAAAGTGGTACAGGAAGTTCAAAACATCTTCCATCCCAGGCTCCAGGGACTGTCCAGAAGTGTTCATCCATCAGACTGTTCAGGCCAGAGACACAGAAACTGGAACCATTCTTTCAGTCCAGAGTGACGGCAGCTTTTATGTCAGACTGACTAAAGAAAACAACTTGCTAACATCGATGGAAAGACATATAATGGACAACATAAAGAAGTACAAGACTCTGCCTGAGAAAGATGTCAAACAAGACCTGAAATGCTCAGTCCAGGTTGAGGACGGCAAGTGGCGGCGAGCTGTTGTTCGGCAGATACATCAGAGAAGGATTGAGGTCTTCCTTGTGGATCATGGAATAACTGTAGAAATTCCAAGAGGGCCTGTCCAACAGCAATGTATCGACCTGAAAGAGGTCCCAAACCTTGCTTTGTTGTGCAAGATAAACTGTGTTCGTCTCGATGAAGATCCAACACCTCTGTATGAAAGGCTCAAACCGTTAGTAGGCACTGAGGTCAAGTTGGTATTTGTCCAAATTTCTGAAGCTGATGAAGTTTGGCTGGTTGAAATCGCTTCATTGCACGAAAATGGAGACAAGACTGCATCAGCAGCTGAAACCCAAAATGAGGCTCCACTAGATGGATTCACCGCAGACACCAGCACTCCTCAGCTGCTGCACTTTGCTCCCCTGGAGACAGACAAAGCTTACTCTGGCTTTGCATCTGCATTTACCACTCCCTTTGAGTTTTGTGTTGTCCTCCAAAATTTACTCATGGATAAAGTGTCTATCATGTTGGACAACCTGCCTGGCAACATACCTTCTCTTCCGGAAGCCCACCGGGTTCCAGGTACCTGCTGCCTGTTGAAGTCTGAATCCAAGAACAAGTGGTGCAGGGCTCAAATCATACACACCGACGCCACAGTGGTCCTGAAACTTGTCGATTATGGGCACAACGAGGTCATACGATACCATGACCTCTCCGAGCTGAAGCAGCTTCCAGTGGAGCTTGCAAACCTCCCAAAAGTGACTTATCCCTGCGTTCTGAGAGGGGTGAAACCGGCTGGTGTGGACGGACAGTGGAGTGATGAGGCGGCAGCCTTCTTCAAGGATTGTTTGTACAAGAAAGATCTGCAGATCTTCTTCAGAGAGTTTGGCCACAACTCCATCTGGAGAGTGGACATTGTTGCTGATGGAGTCCATATCGCCAAGAAGCTGGTGGATGCAGGACATGCAAAGTATATAGATGTATTGCTTGGATGCAGGTATACTCTCCAGATTCTACTAGTTGTAAATTATAAGATGCATGATGTAGATTATTTAACAAAACGATGCTATGTTGGTAAGATTTTTATTGCATTTCTCTCACCTAAAGGTTTCAGGAGGCAAGTCCCTGTAAAAACCCTCAGGTTCGTGATACCGATGAAGAAAAGGTCAACAATAAAGTTGAGGCAACTTTGATGGGTGCAAAGTGAATGCCTCAGAATCACATCAAGTCAATGTAAGAAACAAATAGTTATAAAGACAGTAAATAATAAATACTGGCTGTGGGAAAGTGATCTTTCACAACATAAGATATGCAGGTACTTCATGAAGTAGTTTTGCATAAAAATGCAACTTGTTCACTATCATATTCTAGCAGCAACGTCCGTGTTATTAATCTCATTTTCTTCTCCAACAGGTCTCCTGATTTGAAGAAAGCGTCTTCAAATGTTTGCTGCAGTTTTTTTTAAATCAGCCACACAACAGAAGTTTACATTTAAATTTCTACGTATAAACATTTGGTTTTATTGATTTGTGGTTGATTATATTGTATTATAATTTCATCACTCAACCCTTTTCATTCCTTAAACTTAGCAAGTTTGTTGCTCTGGAGGACGGCATTATTTGTTAGAGGCTCCTCAAATGTGATCATTTGGTTTTTTTAGATTTTTAGGTTGACCTTGTTTTGTGTGTGTATGTTCAAGACTTTTATATTAAGTAGGGAGATTGTTTCAAGTCAAGATTTTCTGATAATGTAATATTTTTCTGGTGGCTTGACTGAAATAAACTTATTTTTGTTAAAATCACCTGGGTTTTCATTTTGCTCCTCTTAGTGGTATTATGGAACATTAAATGTAAATGTGCTTTGCAATCTCTCAACTGTTCCCTTCACATAGATGTGAAACTATTAAAAATATAATTCTGTGTTTTATTAACTTATTTCCTACACAGTATTTTAAGATACTTTTTTCTTAGCTAAAGTCGATGCTGCGCAGATAAATTACTCAAAATAAGCACAGTTGGTATGAGCTTCTTAGGAACATCACATAAACTTTTGTTTTAAAAGAGAATTGAATATCAAAACATTGTCAAAAGTGGGATTTGAACCCACGCCTCCAGGGGAGACTGCGACCTGAACGCAGCGCCTGGACAAGCGCCAGGATGTGTTCGTTCCGTTTACGTCATGAATAACTTTACTGCGTAAGCAATCTTTTCGTTCATGCTCAAATCTTTTCCCTCATTTAAAAAGATTTGTCTTTCCAGTTGTAACTCAAATTCTGAATTAAATTTGATCTTAAATTTATATTAAAGTTGCCTTATGAACGTTTCAATGTATGGCAGTCATTTTAATTTGCATCATTTTTATCTATGGCAGATGTGACGGCCCTGTTGTCACAGTCCTGTGATTTACTATCAATTAAGGTCCTCAATGTGGAGGCGCTTCCATCACAGACACCTGGATGGTTTATAAGGAGCGCCGTTCCATTCATGGGGGTGACTGCAGAAGCCACCACGCGCGACGACCCGGAGATCCAGGCTGAAGGGGCCTGGACTGATGTCTCCTAGACAAATCCATTCTTTTAAAAATAAACGCCTTTCATGGGCTTGACATCACTGGTTGCCGTGTCCCCCCTAATTTTTGTTGCGGCTTCCTGAGCCGGGCCGTAACACAGATGAAAATTTGCTTGATTTATTTCTCTTGGACACATTTATGTTCACTGTGACTTGACAAAAAAGTATTTTGATCATTTCCCCAAAACAAATTAGTATACAATTCAAAAAAATTTAAATATTGCATTAAAAAATGTGTTTCAGTCCAACAAAGGCTTAGAGGAATTTGATTTTGACTATTTAAATTAATCTTAATTTAAACTTTATAACTGAGGTATTTCTGGTAAATTAATTTTTTTTATTGAAACCATTTTTATAAAGAAAAATGATGAAAAAATGAAACATTATCAGGCCCCGTTGTTGAAAAATCTGTATTTATTAATGATTTACAAAAGGCTAAACATGAAACCATTTAAATGATTCAGTTCATTTTGAAACCTAGAGGGAAAAGTCGAGGAGGAAATACTTGTAGTGATTCTACAGGTCGGTAACTAACAGCATTTTATCTCATCGTCACGTAGAATCAGTTTCATCTGCAGTCGATGAAAACATGAGATCCGTTCACACAGGATGGAGTCACTCAGAGTTTAAAGCTCAGCTGAAGAGTGTCGACACTTTGGGAAAGAAACCGTTTGCCTTGTGAAACCGTCACGTTTCTCTGAAGCTCTCTGTGTAAAAAGATTACCACAGTCATGAGGTCCCAAATATAATCCACTTCTCTGAAATAAAAAGGTCTGCAGAGACAGAGTAAATACTAAAATATGTGCATGTATGTTTTACTTTTTCCTACAAGGTTTGAAATAAATACTTGTAAAGCAAACAAGCATTCAAAGAGAAGCTTCTTCCTTTATTAATATTGTGAACATTAATCACATTTCGAGTGGAAGTGTTTTTGAATTGAATTTGGGGAACAAATCAAATTAATTTCACACAACTCTGCAAAAAACTACCTTTAAAAGAACCTAAAACTCAACATTCGGAAACAAGGCGGGGAGGGGGGACACTGAAAACAAGAGGTTCGTTGGGTTTTCTGAATTGAAAATTCAAAGTTAATCACGGAAGCGTTCCGGTTTTCTTTAGTTTCCTGGAAGGTTTCCACAGTAGTAAAAAGAGACAGTTATGGACCGGAATATTTACAGTAAAGTTGTGCACTTACAGACCCCTTTACCTCCTCCAGTTCCTCTTAGGACGTCACAAAAACCAAAGAAATCCGCTCTCTGTCGCTACCGAGTGAAAAAACAGTGTTTCCTCTCATTGAGAATTTAATCTTTAAAAAAAAAAACTGATAAAATTAATAAAATATGTTTCTTTCTGCTGGCAAGAAGGAACTGAAAGTGAAGACAACAACAAAAAAAGAGCGTAAAATATGATAAAATTGTTCATATTTCAGGAAGCTATTTAAAAAAAATTTAAACGAGAATAAATCTTTCTAAATCCCCCCAAGAACCATTTTACAAACAAAAATATATCCCCAGTTTGTTGTGTTTCTCTAATCAGATATAATTAAAACTTTTTTACAGTGCTTCATTATTATATAGCTGACAGACTCGGACGAATATGACACCAGAACCGTCTGCCGAGTTCCAACGATACCGCTACGTCGTAAAAATGAAAGGTGAACGGTCCAGTTATCGAAATAAAAATCAGAACCGGAAGGAGGCTGTCAGTGTTTCTTAGAGCGCCGCTTTGCTGCAGCAGGACGTTTCCCAGGACCTCCTTAAGGTGGATTTAAGGCGGTGCTGGGAGGCCTACTGCTTGGTGTTGAGCTCGTTCTCCAGTTCCATCAGTTTCCGGGAAGCTTTGACCTTGTTGGAAACCTCTTTCCCCTGAGAGAAGAGGCGCTGGCGCTCCTTAAAGGTCAAACTCTCCGGAGCGTCGCTGGGGATCGAGTTCTCCTGCTCCTGACTGATCACAGACACAAACACAAGGAGAAAAACTACTGAAAAGCTGCTGCAGTGTCTTGTGACGCCACCAGGGGGCGATCAACACCAACCGATTTGAAAAGACTTCATGTTTTTCAGTTAAAAATTACTCTTGGCATCTTTAAAGCTACATTTTTTCTACTTATTTTGTGCTCAATTTGACAAAAAAAAATTTTAATATTAACTTTTTTCAGCAATAAAAACAGGATCTGTGTCAGTCGTCATTTGAAAACACTTGGCGTAATTAGACAGCAATGAAAAGCAGATTTAGGGCGATCAATACCAATACATTTAAAAAGGTGGATATTTTAATGGCATTTTTACAAACTATAATAGTCAAAAAATATATTTCAACAATCACAGCAAGAACTATTTTAACTAAACAAAAAAAGTATTTTTTTCTTAGATCAAAAATGTAAAACATTTTTTAGATAATTTATTATTCTGGGCTTAATTTGAAGAAAAACTGAAAAATATTTAATCTTTTCCCAACAATCTTATTTCTTTGTATTTATTTTATTCTATTTAGCCAGATACCAGAAATATTATGACTGAAAAAAGAAAAAAAAAGTTCCCTAAATCTGCCCTCCAGCCACTAGAGGGCAGAACATAATTCTGTTTTCAAATAGTTGGAAGAAAAAAAAAACAATCTCAATTTGAATAGTCAGGAACTTTAATTGCCAATGAGTCAAATGGTATCATTTATATTTTGTTTAAGCGTTAATATCTGCAGCTTGGTTTCAGTTTTTCCTGGACGGACGATGTGACGCTCACCTCTTTGCCCATTTGTCCCGCGGGTCGCTGTAGACCTCTCCTGATCCTACAACTCCTGTCGAGTTTCCAGTGTGCGAGTTAAACCCTGTTGATGTTCGGGCGCCACGCAGCAGACACACAAACAAAGCAGCACAACATGAGTCAGCATTCATGGAGGAACTGAAGCAATCAGGTGGAGGCTGCTGGGTGATGGCTGAGAGATTATTTTTATTTTAAAAACTCTGAGCTGAGACCCAGCAGCCTCTCCATACAATCTCTACTGTGTTATTGTTTCCCACAGACCGGTTTGAGCAGAAAGAAGAGCAGCGTTGAGAAGCATTAAGGCAGAAACATTCAGATCTCTCCAGGCAGGAAGGGGAGCAGTTAGAGCGCCGATCCAAAGCAGGAAATCGGTCTGTGGAAGTTTGGGCCGGGATCCGAGGTCGCGGTCACCCTCATTGTGCAACTGGTGACCCCGACCCGACACCGCTCAGGAGCTCGGCTCATGTGTCCCTGTGTCTCAGCAGCGACCGCCGCGATGGTTTCACTTTTAATCGGGAAAAACACCAAAACCAACCATTTCACAAAACTGTTTTCTAAAGTCTGAAACCACAAAGCGAAAGATTCTTTAGGCGTCTAAATCGATTTCTTTTCTCTACCTCAGAAGACGACAATGAGTGCAACTTCCTTCTTCACGAAATGTAAACAACAATGGAGTGGCGTCAGATTTGAGCAGTTCTAGGATTTCTCCTTTGAGCCATTTCTCTTGCTCATGCTAAACCCATATTTACCCAGAATGCCCTGTGCAGTAGTCCACTTCCTGTTGTTGGAGCGGTCTCTGATTCACAGAACTGCACCAGAGTTCACTTCAACCAAACAAAGGCATCAGGTTGTAGACAGACAAGAGTTCAATGCACATTGAATTGGATTGAAGCGAACTGAACCTAAGAGTCGGAGGACATTTCACCTCCAGCCTTTTGAAGCACCGGTTCTGCTCAGATTCTGCACAGCAAGCGTTCAAACCACCCTGAAAGAACACCCCTGCTTCCTTCTCTGGATCTCCATCCAGTTTCACAACAAAAGGTTCAGTTCAGCAACTATAAGAGTGAAACGCACAGCGTTGGTTTTGGTCTTTTTTATGACGACTGGAAAAACAGTGAAATATGCCAACCACTTCCTCTTTGGAGAACAAAAACTGTTGGGATTTTCCAGCTGAAACAACATTTAGTTTCACGGCTTCAACCTGAGAGCAGGAAGCTTTCAGAGAAACAACGGATGGCTCTTAATGACTGCGGTTTTTATTCCCTCCACACCGAGAGGTTCTCCTGGTAAAGATGTGGACATTTCCTCAAAAATGGTTTTTTGTGAACCATTTTTGTTTGACCACAGAGATCAAGGTCTTGTGCCAGAAAAGCGTCTCCTGGCCCCAAATGGAGACATTCGAGTATCCCAAAGTCTTCTTTAAAAAAGAGGAAGATTGTTAAAGTAACAATCTCAATTTACCGATCAATCTCCGTTCAATAAACTCCACTATGCTCACAAGCTTTGGGTTGTGACCAACAGAACAAGATACAAGCAACTGAAAGGCGTTTCCTCCACAGGGTGTCTGGTCTCGGCCAGAACCGTCTAAATCACTAGAAGAGCTGCAAACAGGTTCATCCTGTTGAAAGGTTTTAGTTAATAAACCGATACGGGAAAGTTGAAGTGATTTTCTTTTAGCCGTTTTTTCACTACATCTGCGCTGCATCCTCACTTCCACAAGACAAAAATAAATAGCAAAATCAATAAAGTATGTTTAATTTATAGAGCAGTGGTGCCCAAACTTTCTGTCACAAAATTAATTAAATTCAACCAAATTTTTATGGAATCTGAACTTCATTAAAGAGGCTAATGACAGAAAGGCTTCGGGCTGCTGCCTCATTCAAAGAAAAACAGACAATTTCCAATATTTTTGGTTGATCAATTGTTTCTATTTTGTTGGCCAAATTTTTTACCATGTTTGACTTGGTAAGGAGCCAAACAAAATCATTTGAAGGACAAAAATGGCCCCCGGGCCACACCTTGAACACCCCTGTTATAAAATTATTTTTTATAATGTTGTGGAAAACATTAAAACTTACTCAAAACAAAGTTCAGTGCAGAAAGTCTTTTCTCACATCTTTACCAGGGCTGCAAATAAACGCAGAAGTCGTTTTGGTCCGGACTTTAACTGTCCACGTTGGGTTTGTGCTCCAGTGCAATAAAAACGTTTGGGACGGTTTCCACACAGACACAGCGACAAATGGTGAACCCAAACACATTGATCCAGCTGGCAGCTCCTCGGCTCCATCCCCCTCCCAAAAAAAAACACAAAACGAGCCCTCGCATTCCTCTGCTGAGCCAAAACAGATGAAAATGACTCTGTGGAATCCGACCTCTTATTCTTTTCCCCATTTTGTTAAAAGTCTCAGTCGAGCTTCCAGAGATGCCAGCTCAGTAAAACAATAACATTTTTCTTTTATTTTTTTTGCATTCAGTCCAGCAGGGAAAAAGCTGGAGGCTCAGGTGTTGACAAATCACCTGAACCTGCAGCAAAGCCCTCTGGGAGTTGTAGTCAGGTTTTAATGAAGCTGCAGCGACAGAAGCGACAGTTGAAAAGGAAGGGCAGCAAAAATCAGAGCTGAAACTGACGAGTAGTTTTGGGGGGAGCAAATTAACTAGAAAAGAAGAAGAATAAAGCTTGGCAGAGGCAGAAAAAGCAATAGACATCAAGCCAGTGACTGAGGTGAGCTGCGTGTAGCCAGCATGCAGCCAGCATGCAGCCAGCATGCAGGCAGCCTGCAGCCGGCATGCAGCCGGCATGCAGGCGGCCCGCAGCCGGCATGCAGGCAGCCTGCAGCCGGCATGCAGGCGGCCCGCAGCCGGCATGCAGCCAGCCAGCAGCCGGCATGCAGCCGGCATGCAGGCGGCCCGCAGCCGGCATGCAGCCAGCCAGCAGCCGGCCCGCAGCCGGCATGCAGCCGGCATGCAGCCGGCATGCAGCCGGCATGCAGCGCCGTGCTCCGATTCGCTCGTGAAGCATGCAGATTTGATTCTTTGGGTGGGGAGGGGTGGTGCTGGGGGCAGGGGGTGGGGGCATTAGTGAGATGATTTTGAGTGCAACATGAAGTGTGTCTGAGGTCTCAGGTGTGTGATGAGGTGGATGGTGTTGGAGGTGCAGGCAGGAACCGAATCAGGACCTCAGGAATGGATTCAGATGCTTTTAATTCTGCGTTTGTCTGAGCGTGTCGAGTTTTTCCTTTCAGCTCAACACTTTCTGAAATTTAAGCTTTGCATATAAAGCTGCAACATGATATAGTAGATCCAAATATACAACAAAAAAGAGAATTAGTTTTTTATACACTAAAAAAACAAAATCTGACCAAGTATTTTATCTAGTTTCTAATGGAAACTATCCAAGCACAATTGAAACAAGAAAAAAAAACTTTTCAGCAAGATACGAGTTTAAAATCAATAATTCCTGAATATTGATGAAAAAATCCTAGTTAGAAGTAAACAGACATTTGAACTTTTAACAAGGGAAAAATGCATTGAATAAACCAAACCATTTTCAGCCATTTTGTTAAACATTCGCCTCGTTAAATTTCAAGTTGAAATGCTGAACAATCTCAGACAAAGGCAAGTTTTCACTGCTGCTGCGTTTCAATGAAATCATTTTAATTACTGAGTTAGAGATGGGTGTGAAAAGCCAAATCTCCTTCCCTTTAAAGCAAACATCGCTAAGCAGAGCCTCGGGGCAGGAAGTGGAGGCAACTCCTCCATCCCTGCTCCCAAGAAGCAACCAACCAGACAGAAAGGAGGCGGCGAGCGACAACACCAACAGTACTATGATTGGCCTCAATCGTCTGCACCAACCGGTGGCGTGATTATCGATTGCTTTTTTTCCGTTCGAAGAAGGGGGGCGATCGGAGGAAGATGAGGAGAGGGAGTGGAAAAAAATTACCGAGAAGGAAAGAAAGTGTTCAAACTGGGGCTGCAGCTAACGATTATTTTAATGTCCGATTATTTGATCGATTATTCTGACGATTAATCAAATAAAAAAATTTAAAAAACTGGACCACCATTTTGCAGATTTTTTATTTAGTGACTTAAGATTATTCCATACAATATTAGAAATGCATAAAAATGTTAATGCCTAAAACGCAATAATACAGAATTCCTTTAATAAATGTCTGATGGTTATCTTCCGGATTAATAACTGGACAGGAAAACAGAATTTTTATAGAATTTGAAACTAAAATGACAGAAGTTTTATTTTATCTTAAATGTAAAATTGATCAATTTTTGGCCAGTTTTTGGTTATTTGCTGCTTCGTTTCAGTGATCGCTTCACCATTAATCAGTTCAGCCTTAATATGTCTTTTTGGACAATTTTAACTTAATTACTTCTCTTATTGAATGTAAACTCCAATTAATCGCTTACTATATTAGTCGACAATTATTTCAGTGATTGATTAATCACAATTAATCGTTTCAGCCCTGATATGTTTTCTGTACAATTTTGGCTAATTGCGCCTCTGAGTATCAATCTTCCTACAATTGGTCGTTTTTCAATCTGTATTCTCCAATTAACGATTAATCGATTACTAAATATGTTGATTTTTTTTCAGTGATCGATTAATCACAATTAAGTCGATGAATCGATTCAGCCCTAGTTCAAACACAAAAACAATCTGATTGGCTTAGGGAGAGACGAAGGGATTCCCACAAACAAAAGTAAATGAAAGTGAACGATGAAACGTTGGACAAAATCTAGACAAACACGTAAAAGAGGGAAAATCTAAGAGCTGAAAACCATGAAGGGAAGGAAATGACAGATGATGGAGAGGGCGGTGTGGGAGTTTAGAGGCGCCTGGCTCCTCGCTCCTCTCTCCGGCTCTACCTTTATAGCTTCCTGGTGGGGGGGCGGAGCTGGGTTTGGCAGGAAGGGGGGGGCCTGTACTGTTGGAGTTGTTGGCTGGCGGCTGGAACGAGCCAGACAGGAAGATGCCATCAGAAAGAGGGCGGGGCTTGCGCGCAGTGGGCGGCGGCTGAGGCCGGCTCTGAGTGGGCGCGGCGGAGGCCGGGAGGTCGCCGTACGACTTCCTGGTCGCCGACAGCTTGGCCTGACCTGATTGGCCGCCGCTCCCTGCCGAGTAGGCTTCCTCCTCGTCTTCGTCGTCGCCCGCGTACGAGACGAATTTGGCTGTGTAGAGCGTGTCGGGCGAGATGACCTGTGTTTTGAGGTAGGAGGTGTTTCTCTGTGGTGGGGGCGGGGGGTTGTTAGTAGGGTTGTGGGGGGCGGGAGGGTGGTAATCCCGAGGCAGCGGGGGCCGATACAGACCGGCCGGCTCATCGGGCGTCAGCAGCTTTCTCTCTGCCTCCTCGTGCTGCCGCCGCCGCTCGGCCTCCAGACGGGTGTAGTACTCCTCCTCCTGTCTCCTCTGGGGGAGGGATAACCTGTTAGTAAGCTCCGCTCTGATTGGCTGCCACCAACACTGGATGCTAACACACTAATTAGCTAGAGACACAGCTAAAAGCTATTCAACAAGCAACCACCCACCTCTCTGTGACTTGCTTTGACTAACTAACCGTATCCTGAGTCAACCGGCGGTCCGACACCGAGGGCCTCGACTGGAACATTTTATGAAAACAAACCTGAGTTTTTCTCTAAAGTTTTAGCAAGTAAAATTTAAGACTTTTTAATGCCACGTTGATTGAAATTTAAGACAAAAATCTAAATATAAAGTATTGTTGGAGGTAAAAAGCAAAAACTGAAATCTGTGGACAATTTGTGGCGCTGGTATTTTTTTAAGGATATTTGCACTGCAAGAACAAAATCTCACAAAATATTTCTGGACTACTTTCTAATGCAAATATCTTCACACACTTGAAATAAGAAACTTAAGAGTAGCTTTTAAACAAGAAGGCATTTATTTTAAGTAAATAACTCCTAAATATTGATAAAAAGTACTTGTTCCATTGGCAGATAAATTGACTTGTGAGAAAAATGTATTTTTACACATTAAATAATCTGCTAATGGGAAAACATGCTTTTCATCCTTATTATTTAGTTAAACTCCTATTTCTTGTAAAGAAACATGTTTTTATAAGCAGCTTAGTTAATGCTAGCAGATAAGCAAACCCTAACCTCTCACCTCACTGTAGCTTTGAAGGTAATGTTCTCCAGCAGTAGCCATTTTGCTAATTGCAGCATATTGATGACAAATATGTAAATGCCGGTGGTATATGAAGTTTGCTACTGATAGCAATATGCTACTGCTGGGGTTTCTGAGAATGTTGGCAGCTTCTAAGTAAAAGTCTTGACCTTAAAACATGAAGGGAAAAAATATCGGATCTAATCAACTGGACAAAATGTGGCACCAATTTAGTAAAGAAACTGATTTATTTTCATATATATATATATATATATATATATATATATATATATATATATATATATATATATATATATATATATATATATATATATTCATACAGTATCTATTTATGTAATTTATTGGACAATTTCCTGAGTTCATCTTTTGTTTCTGCTCTTTAAAGTGAGTAAATGTGAGGAAAGTTTCCCCTAAGAGGCCCCCGAGCTGGACCTACAGTCGACCCCGACAGTCAAATACATCTAAGAAAAGTCCTGAAACTTGATAAAAATGTTTGGATAAAAGGTTCTAATCCAACTCCTACCAGACCCACCGGGTCGTTCCCTTTCTCTCTGCATCTTTGCTTTGTTCTATCGGTCTATATGTAGCGGATCTCAGTTTACATTGTGAGGTTTTGCGGGTTTTTCTTCCAGCCCACCCTGACTCCTAGCATCTCGACTTCAGAGGACGAAGCTACGCTGGTGGGGGAGAGATTTGGATTTCAGGGTCAGCTCCGGGTCTGACGTAAGATTATCTTCCATCTCATGTGGCGAGGGTCGGATCCGATCTGCCTGGACAGTTCGGTCTGAAGAACCTGGGAGGGATTAGCGGTTGTGTGGCCTCTGGGTTCATGAATATGTTCGGCATGGATGAGAGAGGCGATATTAGCTTCTCTAAATGTGTGTGGAGTGAATGGTTTGGGGAAAATGTTTGGGTGGAGAGTGGGCTGCATTCCCTGAACACACGTTTGGATGCTGGATGGAATGGGAATTAAACAAATAGTAACAAAATTAAAAACTCAGCTCTCCCCCTAAGAAAACTGAAACAACTGCACCTTCCTGACAACAACACGATGGGGAAACTCATGCTTTCTGGTGGGTGGGAGCACAAAACATGACACAGCAAAACGTCACAGAGGGTGGGAATGCTCAGGATGACAACATGCAACGGGACAACATTCAATAACAAACAGCATTAAACTACAATAAAAAAATTACTAAATAAATTAGATTTCTACCAGAAAATGATGCTTTTAAATAACCAGCGAGCTCATCAAGGCGAAACAACAAAACGTGGACGACATTTGTTACAACAAGCAGCACAAATGTGGAATATGGCATGAAACAAAACCGCTGGTTATTCAAAAACTAACATATCTCATCAACTTAAAAGGAAAAAAAAGGCTGATAATATGATTTCTGCACACTTTCTGTAGAAAAACAATCTAATTTATGTTAATATACTTAAAATATTGAACAGGATAAGGAAAAAAAACCTAAAATATTTATGAAAATAAACATTTATTTCAGGTATTTTAATAATAAGTGTGCATAAGTTGAAGAAACTACAAGAATTAGACCAATGTCATTAAATTACACCCAGATTACCATTAATATAAGAAAGATTTGATTTAAATCAACAAACTGCAGTGTCATCACAATCAGCTGTCCAAACCAGAAAACAATTGCTGAACTAAATATTTAGAAATGTACTTTTTGACAACTGTCTGCATTCAATAAAAAAATACTTTATTGTTGAGCAGATAAACTTAAGTTATATCAAAATAGAGCAAAAACAAGCAGATACTAGATTCTGATGTCAGCATAATCATTGTGAATGAAATACTGGTGAACTGATTTGCTGCTATTGCATTAAACTGATTTAATGTTATCAAACTTGCACTGGAAATTTTAAACTTGTAATACTTCTGATCTCATAGCTCGGAAACATCATAAATGTTAATGACTCACGTTTCAGCTGCTTTCTGCTGAGTTCTCAGTCTTTAGTTTAAATACTTTCTTAAAAACCGGATTTACATTAATAAAACCACATTGGTCTAATTCCAGGAGTTTCAAAGAAAAATCTTAAAGTTTTTAACGTCTGGCATCTTTAAACATTTTCTCAGACAGACGAACTGACCTTTTCCTCCGCCTCTCTCTTGACTCTCTCCTCCTCCCTCCACCTCCTCTCTTCCTCCTGCTTCACCCGCTCCTCCGCCTCCCTCTTCCGAATCTCCTCCAGCTGCTGCTTGCGCCGCCGCTCCTCGTCCTGCAACTGGTTTTTCACACACAGACACACACACCACACCATAAGGCAAACATGCAGACAGGGAAACAATTAGAACAGTAACAACCACCAAGTTCAAATCAAGCGATCTGAGATTAATTCATCTCGACTTTCTGGATGCCAACGTGAAGTTGCATAAATGTCTCAATCTGCTGCTCCAGCACAGCAACAACACAGAAACTCACACGTCCGACCATGCAGACACCAACATGCAGCAGCAGCAGCAGCAGCAACCAAAATAAAGCAGCAGTAAAGCTCCAACGTTCAGGACTTCGACATGGAACATTTTTCTCAGAGAGCTGGAGAAATGCATTTAAAACCAGTCACAAAAAGACAAACAGACCCGTTTCTTTTGGCTGGATGGCAGTTAAAGGGTCAGTTCAACCAAACTATAAGTAGAGGAAACTTTCTTGCACAGAATAGAAAAGACAATAAAGTGAACAAAGAAATGTGTAGTGAATTAACATCAATGAGAAAAACTGCAGATTTTTGCACATCATGAATATCCTCCAAAAAAGCTTGCTCTGATTGGTCAACTGTAAGCCCCGCCCACCAATCTGTACCTGCTGCAAACAAATTTATTGGACAAAGTTTATATTAATAGTCACAAAAACAGTGGAAAAAATCCAACTAATCCGAGTTTTGACTTTAAGCTTTGGTATTAAGTATTTTTGTTAAGAATTATATCCTTCCAAATTTTAACTCTCTTCATTTTTTAAGCTTAAGCCAATTTTGTTTACATTTCTATTGAGTGTGAATTAAATTTTAAGAAAAATAGCAAAAATGCAATATATTCAAACAAACAAACAAAAAAAAAAACTATTTTTGAAACTAAAATTCAAACATAAAACCGTATAAAAATTTAAATTAAACTTTGTCCAGGATTTGTTTCTGTTCTCTTTATTTTTAAGCAAAATACGACATATTGATGTTTCTTACATTTCGGTTTAATTTTATTAACGTATGCAAAACTGCATTAAATGTGTAATCTACAAAATGAACATGAAAATAACATTTATTAAAAATAGAGCTATAAAAAATTCAAAGCTTTATTTATAATTTACTTTTTTTTAAAATTCTGTTCTATTTTTAATATTTATTGTATATAAAACTAAATACAGAATAAATTTGTGTCGTTTCTTACATTTCTATATATTATGAAATACATTTTATTAAAGAAACTTTGCAAGAATGAAGAAAAGAAAAAGTATAAACGGAAAACTTAAAAAATACAAAAAATGTGAAAATCAAAACAAATCTATTAACTCACCATAAAACTAAAAATATAGATTTTTTTTTTACTTTTCTAAAACTTTTTTTTATAGTTTAAATGAATAGATTTCAGTATTGTGGGTTTTAATCCTTTATTCTGTTTCTGTGGTGGAATATGAGCGTCCAGGTAGAAGTCTCTCTCAGGCCCCTGCAGGTTTTGGTTAGTAAAATATGAATTAATTAAATTTAACGCTGTGGTTGAACAGACCCCTTAGAGAAAACGCTCAGCCAGTCGTGCACAAACTGATGCATGAACAGAAAGATGAAGAGATGGATGCAGGGACAGCACAACGACATGCATGGGTCTCCATCGGATGAATCCAGCCATGCAGGTTCTCCCTCCATATTCACTCAAAACAAACACCACCAGCAGCTTTCAGGCCTTTTCTAAACCCCCAAATTTCCCCAATTTTTCCCTCGTTTTTGATGTTTTGAGTGGACAAAGAGACAGAGTGCTTCGACACCAAACATCCCCGAACCGGCTGCTCTTTAGCCCCTAATCATTCAAGCTAACCCCAAAGAAACAGCAGCTGTGGATACTAAAATATGTGAGGGGAGACAGAAAGGAAACGAGGGCAGGTGGGCAGCCGAGACAGAAAACAAGGAGTGATGCGAGGGCAGGGACAGGAAACGCGCCATTAACAGGAAGAACATACCAAGTCTAGAACAGAGATAGCTGGGACAGCAGTCTGCTGCTGCAGAAGAAGAAGAGAATCAAGAGTAAGAGAGGCGGACAGAAAGAAAGAAAGAAAAAGGAAGGAGGGAGGGAAAATACCAAAGTACTGAGAAAAACGTGAAGGAGTGGAGGAGATTTTATAAATTTAACTAAAAAAGGAGGAGAGGACGTGGAAACGGAGGAGCAAAATATGAAAGCAGAAGGAAGGGGAGGACATACAGTAAAGTGAAAACATTACTGAAGCTCGTTTATTAGTGCTCATGGATTTGAAATATGTTAATTACCTAAACATAATTATATTTCTATTCTTCTGTTCCAGGTTCATTTTGTAAGAATTTAGAGACTCAAGATGGAGAAATTTTTATATGCTAAAAATCAAAAACATTACATTTCTCCCTGCCAATTACTCACCTGGTTAACTAAATGTTAAATAAAATAATAACAACTGCATAAATTATTGGTTTGGGACGGAAATTATTTTCATGATTTTGGTTTTTCTTCAGATTCTGACACAATTTGGCGTCACGGCTTTGAAGGTCCTGCATTATTTAAGCTTTACATGCTTCAAAAATCTATTTCAAAAAAATTTTTTTGGTTTAAATATCTATTTATCTAGTTCTTAAGTTGAGGATCAAAAAGCATTTAAGAATTGTTCTTTATATAAAAATATATCATCAAGTTTAGTTTTTGCTACCTCAAGGGAATCTTCACTTAGTTATTTGCACAAAAAAGTCAATTTCTATGGAAAAAAAAGAAACAATCCAAGCCAAATATATAAAACACATTCTTAACTGAATACCATTTTCTTTCACTATGAGCTTTAAATACTGTTACACTGCGGAGGTTTATAAAAGAAAAATAAATGAATAAAAAAAGAAAAGTCATAGCAAGTTTGAAACATTTCAGGGTTTTACTGTTAATTTTACAAAAGCTGAGGCAGTTTGCATAAACAGTGTGTGGAAAAACAAGTATTTCTGAATCTCATTGAAGCTAATCAATAAGTTTGATCGTGTCCTTAAAAGTTCAAATTTAACGACAGGTTAAAAAGTTAGATTGTTTGTAGGAAGAAAGTCATTTTTTCTAAAAGTTGGTGTTTGCAATTGAATTAGCCAAACAAAATGGACCCATTTCCAACTGTTTAACAGTGAAACACGGCGATGGAGGCATGGTGATGTGGGCTTATGTGAGTCAACCACCAACGTGTGACTCTGACTGTAACACGACTGTAACAACATGCCAACAGCACAATTTCCAGGCTTCAGGGACGTTTAAAAGTAAAATGTCCTGGATAACATCAGATGTTACCAAGCAATGCTGATCCAGCTCATTTGCTTTTGCCACATCTTTTTTAAAATCTCCGTCAGGCCGTTTGGTTAGAAAGCAAGGCAGAAACAACAACAAAAAATACATATTTAGTAGAACAAAATGAAGAAAAAGGGAGATGCTGAAGTAGGGGATATAACTGATGTAGAAGACTGTTTTACTTTTTGAGGATTTGGGGTCATAGGTCAGGTATCGTTTGGTTTACAGATGTGTATAAATACCTTGTTGCTATGGTTATGCACCATAACAACTATCTGGAAGTTAAACAAGTCGACCCCGAACCCAAAACTGGTTCATCAAAAGCACAATTATTCCTAAAAACACATCAACAGAAATGGCTGAAAATGGCCCAGTCAAAGTCCAGATTTTAAGCTTCTTAAATAAAAATCCATCACTGAACTGAAGCGAGAAGGAAGAGGAGAACAAATCCAGATTATCTTTCCACACACTGTTCCTGCATTTCATCTTTAGCTGCTAAAAAACTTTTAAACATTTTCTGTTTAATTTGGTTTCAACTGGATCAAATTTTCACCATCAGTCCCTGGTGCTGTTGGGTGCAAGGAAGCCGATTAGCAGAACCACTGCCCTCCTTCCTGCCCATACCCGGCCATCCACCCTTCCAGCCAATCAGATTTAAGCAGTGCAGCATGGCGAAGCGATGACAGAAGCATGTTGCAGATGCACACTGCGTGACATTCACGGCGGAGGAACCGGTTTCCTCCTCTAGCGACTCAAAAGGCAGTTCTGTTTTTCTCCCCATCAGCCTAATTTTCCCGCGACTCGCCCTTCCTCAAGCGCGGAGCTGCGGATTTGTTTCTGGACTCTGAGCTGATGGGTAAGGTGGCTTGAAAAAAACAGAAGTCAAGTTTAATGCTGCCAGAAAGCCTGTGCACGTGACAGAGTGGGACCTCTTCCTCCAAGACAAAATCTTGCTTTCCGCCATTTTAAAACACGGCGACCGACTGTGTTCGTCCGTCCTTACCCTGGCTCTCTTTTCGGCCTCCAGCCTCTGCATGATCAGCATGGCGTCCATGTCCTCGTCGTCCTCCTCCTCCTCGTCGTCGTCACTTTGTTTGGACTCCTGCAGCCGCTTCTGGAACTGCCACTCCAGCATCAGCTTCCGGAGCCGGTCGCTTTCTTCCGCTGTTCGCTCCGGTTTCGCCTGAGAAACGGCAAGAATTTGAAAACAGGGCCTTTGAAGTGGGGGAAAAATTCAAAGCTGGATAAGCTTGAATGCTTAATGGATTTTAAGGCTTTATTGAATAGATTGTGACAAGTTTATGGTCTAAACAAAACATGTTCATTACATTTCTTTGCACCAAATCATTCTTGGATAATCAGATTTTCATCTGCTCTTTAAATCCACATAAGATGGTGCTGGCCACGCCCCCAAAGCTAAACATTTACTCTCACACGTGAAAATGGCTGCAAACAAATGTGGAGTCACACAACTGTACAGCTTTGAAAAGCAGAAGTTGAGCCTCCTGCACAACCAACAAGAATGTGGTAAGTGGTTTCTGGATGGTGAGTCAACAGCAAAACACTCGTCTTTTCCAGCAGCCATGATTCATTCAGTGGGTAAAACCAGCTGACCAAATGTGCTGGAAAGGAGTTTGGGTTGCTAGGTAACAGGCAGAACTTTGCTGGGGTTGCTAGGCAACAGTGTAGTGCCCGTGGAATGCGACTTGAACATAAATTTATGAGTTTTTAAGTAAAAGACAAAATGAGGGATGCTTCATTGGTCTCTGAATTATTTTTATTAATGTCAAAAATGTTTATTGAAATATTTTGAGTTGAGTTCATCTATTAAAATCACTTAAATAAAAACAAGTGAAATAGGAAAATGTTTTTTTATTTAGCTAAACACAATAACTGTTGCCCAAAATTCTCCCCAAATATGGTTTTTACAACAGTTTAGATTTACAAAGATTATTATTAACATTAATAATAAACAAAAATCTTATCTTTTTACCTGGAGCTCCTGGATTTCTTTGTCCAGCAGATCCACGATGTGGAGCTGCTGCTGCTTCTCGGCCTTCTCGCGGGCGTCTCTCTTCCAGGGGTCCGGAGACAGGCTGTCGCTGGTGGACAGCTCCTCCTTGCTGATGGTGATGTACTGCAGGTCGCGCCGCTCGATGGTCCGCGGCTGCTGCTGAGGAAGCAGCTCCCTGATCACCGTGTCCATGGCTGCAAACGTCCAACAGGGTTTAAATGATTCGCTTTACAGATTCAAATCCAAGGGAGGCAAAATCTTTAATTAAAAAAAAGCAAATTGTGTTTTTATCGTCCTGAAACAAGGAGATAATCTCACCGGCAGAGTTGGCGGCGGCGGGCGGCGGCACGGCGGACCGCGGCAGGCTGGACAGCTTCTCCGGTCTGGAGGGTGGCGGCTGCGCCTGCGGGGCGTGGTAAGGCTGGGGCGGCGCCACGGAGGCCATGGGCGGCTGGTGGTGAGGAGGAGGCATGGCTCCACCGTTGTTATGGGGCTGGACGGGCATGACCGGGTTGGCTCGGATCTGACCCAGCTTCCTCTCCTGCTCCCTCCTCTTCCTCTCTCTGGTAAAATAATAACAATAATAATTACACCTATAAAATACCACAGCAAATTCCACCAACAACTTGCTAAATAGGAGAAAATACAAATTTCTAAACTAATTATTCTTCCTTTCTGCACTTCATCATCTGTTGAAAGATGTTATTAATGTCAGGAGAGACTGATTTGAGATATTTTATCACATTGCTGTATTTAACATCTTTTCAAATGAACAAAGCAAAAACAAAAATTATTGTATTATATATGCAAAATTAATCTTAGACATTATCTGAACTTGAAAAGTGGAAAATTTTCCACTTTGTGGTCAGAAAATTTCAGGGATTTTTTTTCTTGTAAATTTTATAGAAGAAAACAGAATCACTTCAGTGTACGCTTTTTAAAAACCTTTTTTTTAAATCATTATTAATCACAATTAATCGATTTATCACAGTTAATCCGACTGCGTAATCTGATTACTTAATCCATTCTGATTATTCTGGTTAATCCATCATAGCGATGAATCGTTTCAGCTCTAGTATCTCGACCAGCTCTGGTCTGAACTCCTTCCAGGTGAACCAAACCCACCTTTCCTCCTCCAGCCGGGCCTTCTCCTTCTCATACCAGCGCTGCTGCTCTTCCCGTTTCTTGCGGTCGGCGGCTTGCTGGGCCGTCACCGGGCTGATGGCGGCGGGCGGCGGCGGCAGCGGCAGCTCCGGTTGCGGGTCGTAGGGGTCGGGGTAGACGGCAGGAGGCGGCGGCGGAGGCGGCGGGAGGTCGGAGCGGGACGGCGGCTGCACCGAGTGCGGCGGCACGATGTGAGGCGTGTTCGGCGTCTTCCACCGGCCCGGCCCGGTCTTCTGGTTCTGGCCCTTGTTTGAAGACGTGGAGGAAGCAGAGAAGTTGAGCTGCTCCTGGCTGGACGTCGAGGACTCCAGCGAAGAGGAAACCTGCGGCTGAGGCGTCCAGTGGTCCATCAGGGCTCCCACACCTGAAGATAAACAAAACCAATAAAACATTTTCACTCCAGTTTTTGTTGTGGCATCAGGACTATTTCTCTGACTCAGTTTTCGTTCTCCTACCTCCTGGCGGACCTCGGTGCTGGTAGTCCAAATCCCGGTGCTGGTAGTCCTGCGGGTAGAGCGGCTGCATCCGCTCATCGGGCCTCATCATTCCCACCGGAGGGTACAGATCTTCCTGGGAGTGATTAATCCTCTGCAGAGACAAAAACATAGAGAAAGACATCAGGAAACGAGAAAATCATTTACATCTCAGAGAAAGGAAAGATGGGAGAACAAGACAATAAAATGACAGCAGATTAATGGACAAGTCAGTCATTCAGGACTTAGAAGGATGAATGTTTTAGAAACTTGAATGATAAATAAGAGCAATAACTTCTTTTCCATCTTTTATTTCTTTGATTAATATTTTCCATATTTTGTTGGAATACAATTTACTCCTACATAAATATAAATTCTGCTCATAATGGATTTGAGTTTATTTTAACCTCGGATTGGCCTTAATGTTTCACCTCACTCTCATGTCAGACACAAAACAAAACACAATTAATTTTTAAAAGAACATTTTAAAAAATCAGAAAAAAAAAAAGCTTCAGAAAAACTGGAAAGCTGCCGCACCTGCATGCTGTTGTGGTGGATGTTGTCGACCACAGGGAGGCGCTCTCTGTCCTCCATGCCCTGCCAGTGCTGCGGGGGACCCTGCCCTGGACCCACCACCCGGTCCTGGCTCTTGGAGGCCGGGATGGTGAAGTAATCCCTGGGGTAGGTTTGGGTGGGGATGGGGTAGGCCTCCGGCCGGGGCGGGGACGGCTCGTCCTGTGGGGAAAGAGGGACAACTCAGCTAAACAACCAGAAAACTTACAAAAACCAACAGAAGAAAATAGAAAATTCAGCCAAACATCTGGAAAATTTCCTTAAGTCGAGACTGGAACCACATTTTTGTCCAACATGTGTGAAATTTTACTTGTTGGTGCCACATTCCTCATTTAAGCTGCGATGGGTTTCAATGCTGCAGAGCTGGTCAAAGCATTTTTAAGGCCCTAATTAGATTTGAATATGAGCCCCCCTTACCAACAGATGCTTCATCGTTCCAAGGCTGCTCTGAGTGTGTGACATACAAAAAGACAAAATCTTACCAAGAGTTTTTGGTCTAGTTTCTATTAAATATCTTAAGTACACTTGAATTAAGACAAAATTAACTAATTCCTTAATATTGATGAAAAAGTACTAGATCCAATCCAGCTCCGATGCCAGATTATTTCACTTATAACATGGGAAAAATGTTTTGTTATAAGTGAAATAATATACAAATTAAACTAGCACTTTTTAAAAATCAATATTTAATCATTATTGACTGCGCATGAATTCGATTTGTCTGATTTCAAGGCTACTAAGATATTTTCAGAAGAAACTAGACCAAAAAAGATTTTGTATTTTGCAGCAAGCATCATTTATAATTGATAATAGAAGTAGTAAGTAATTTATATAGAAGTAGTTTTTTATGTGTAATAATAAAAAAATTTAATTGATGCATCTTTTTGCTCTTGGGCTCCCCCTGGTGGTGCGTCTTTGCACTTACTTCTGCACACAGGTTCCCGGTGGAAACAGAGGTGATCTTGGTTCCCGGTCCTCCAGGATAAACCGACTTGGTCGCAGGATTCTGGCTCTGATCTGGTGGAGGGAAACAAAACGATGTCAAAGCAAACCTTCACACACATTCACTGTTTGTTTTTCCAAATGCAAACATTTCCAAAACATTTGCTGGCAAAATATTCCGGTGGTTTGTTCCTGTATCAGGGTGGAGCAGCTGCAGAATAACACCAGCAGAGGTTTTTACCTTGATTCCAGTCTAAAAATGGTTTCAAACTACAAACCTGCAGAACAGTTCTGGATTACAGAACTGTTCTTACTCTTTTCAATACAAGTAAAATTGGAGCACTTTTCAAGCACCAGACTTTGGAAAAAAACAACTGTTTCAATTCACTATCATAAAATATTTATCAGTGCTATTAATAAAGTCTTATGTTAGTATTGTACAGCAGGGACAAGCTGGTTTGTTTTATTTTGTGGTCTAAAGAACAAAACAAATTGAACAAAAATCTGAGTTATTGACTCATTTTGAATTATAAATATTCATTACATTTAAACTAAATGGCTCTTCCTGCTCTATTAAAACGCTTAACGCTACAAAGAAAGTTACAAAAATAATCTTGGTAAGTTTTCTGACATTTATCAAACCAAAATTATTTTTTAAATAATATAAAACAGGAAAAGTTTAGTCCCATTTAACTTCAGACAATAAGAAGAAAAATATGTTTGTCTCTTTTTATTAGTCGAATGGAAATATCTGGTTTCAGCTGAAAATAATGTTTTCCAAATTTAGGCTTTGAATCAAACATTTGATTGATATTTGTTCCAAAACTGCAGTTTGAGTAGCAGAAATCAAACATTTACAAGGATGTTAAGCACCTGTCTGTACCGTGTAATAAAGAGAAATTACAAATGCTAAAGGTGATTAAAAGAAGGACTTACTGGCTACGTTGGGGCTGGATCTGTGGTCGGCCCGGTTCTTCAGAAGCCTGTCCTCTCCGCCCATCTTCTTTGGTTCTGCGTACGAGTCCCAACCGGGCTGTGGACTCTCCGGATCGCCGTTCTGCACGGCGTTGTTGTAGAGCTCGAAGCCCTCGCTCTTCGGACGCATCTTCCCGTTCTTATCGCGGCCGCGGTCCGATGCTGGGAGTCGGGAAACAACAACGATCAGAACAAACAAACATTCATGAGGCAAAAAAATTTCATTCAAAAGCTCTTAGAAAAAATTATTATAATTTAACAAAAAGGTTTTTATATATTGCTGCATGGGGAGAATCTCTGGAATGATTTAAGCATAAAACAGTTTAAAATGTCAGCGACACCAGCCCTCAAGCACTGGAGTTTGACCTTTGACCCCAGAGCAATTTAGCAAAACTGAACACTTAAAGTTGCGTCTCCCTTTGTGTGTTACAGACGAACACAAAGTGACGTCCAGCTGGGAAAAGAGAGAATTACTCATTTATGAACTTTCAGTAACATTGAATGTAGAATAGAAGATCTTTGAGACCAGCCACTCCGTTTCATTTTGCTGTTTGGTTGACGGGAGTTTGGGAGAAAAGAAGACTTCCTCAATGAAGCTCGGGTCAAATTCCAGCAGACAAAGAGCAACTCAGAGCCAGACAACCCTTTAACCTCCGCCACACCGTGCGTGTGTGTGTGTGTGTGTGTGTGTAGCTTTTCATGGATACACACAGCCCAACTGTACTGCACAACAAAGACACCCAGTGTGGACATCCGCTCATCTCTTTGATTGGTATCAACATTTAAATGGATTTTTATGAATAATTGACAAAGTAAAATTTAAAAATATAAATTTTTCTTATATTCTTACCACAGTAAACTTTAAGCATTTTGCAAGCATTTTTAAGGTAAGTTTTCAAACTTCTAATATAACTACATTTACAATTTTAATTTCTCCTTATTTTGCGATAGAAACTATTAAAAGTGAAAAGGCGTGAATAACGGTACCTCTCTGCATCATGGGGCTGGGCTGGTTGAGGAGCGTCGCCAGGCCGTGGTAGATGGCGCCCTGCTTGGCCACCTCCAGAGTCACCACAGAGCCCGTCCGCGTCATCAGCTCTGCAGCTCTGAACACACACACACACGAACACACACACACACACACACACACACACACACACACACACACACACACACCACACACACACACACACACACACACACACACACACACACACACACACACAGACAGACAGACAGACAGACAGACACACACACACCAGACCATCAATCTCCCAACTTCAAGGAAACTTTTCTCCCTGATGTGGCCGTTTAAAGTGACGCAACACACAGCCAGGCTCTAAATCTGCGGTAACAAGCTTCATTAAGCGGCTCCGTCTTTGATCCAACCATCTCATGACTCCACTTGAATCTTTCCGCTTTGCTGACATAAATTTTTACACTAAATCTAATTTTATATAAAGTGACAGCTGGTGGGTTTGGCTGTTGGTGACATCCTGGTGGAGAAGCTGCACTGAAAAACATGAGCGGCGGTTCCTGTCCAACGCTTCTACTTAGTAAATTTAACCTCCTGACAGTTTTTACAAGCTAGAAGAATCAAATTTCACCGTCATTATTTCATGAAATAAACAGAACCATTTAATAAGTTACATATTTACATTCAGACACATATTTTCAAGCCTTTATGTTAATTATGATGCCAATGAAAACAAGACAGTGTTAGAATAGGAGTGGGCATTTATTGTATTGCTTATCATTTATCATGATAAACTTAAAACCATTTTGATTTGTCGACAATAAAATCCAATATTTTTCCCCTTTTAAAAATGATATTACTTAATTTTCCTAATATTTTGACCTTATTCTGGTGACAAACTTTTTTTCTAGCATTAGTTTTACTTTATTGTTGCAATACTATGACTTTATTCTGGGCATTTATCATGATAATTTTTTGATAAAACTTTTTTTTTTAATCTTTTGTGATTCTTTGTTTTGTTTCTGTGCAAAACTAAAACTTAAGAACTTATTGCACATTTTTCTGTTTAATCAGACGCTGAAGGCCAGTTTTGTTCATCAAATTAACTTCAGTAGAGCGCAAGGTTTTTTTTGTGTTATTCAAAAGTCTGATTTAACTCACATTAATGCAGAGCTAAGTGACATAAGTCAGTAATCTGACAATTTGAATCATGAAGCTTTAACCTTTAGATTAGAGCTGAAACAATTAGTCAGATTAATCGTGATTAATCAACAAATCAATTGTTTAATTAGATTATACAGACTTTAAAAACTAGGCATTTGTTAAAAGAGCAACATAATCAGAGCAGTAATTAAACCAAAACTGAGCAAAAAAACATACATTTTTGATTTAAAAATGGAAAATGTTCTTTGTTTGAAAATATGTTCTACCCAGGACTCATTCAGGGTTAGTTTTAGCTTCTCCTGTTTACAAAAATCTGCTATTATGCAAATAAGGAGGAGTCTTAGGGAATTAAATGTTAATTTTATTTTAAAAATGAATTTAATTATTTGTTTATTTGCATCTTTTATTATAGTTCTAATATTCTATGAAAAGGCTTATGCAGTTAATGGAAAAAGCAGCAGATTATAGCATTTTTTTAATCCAATTAATCGGCTAATCGCCAGAATAATCAGTAGAATAATTGTCAGCTTGGAGTTAAATAACAGACTAAAATAAAGACGCGTTTCCTAGAAGGTGGAGCCGGAGGACCAAATTAACACTTTCATCGTCGACCAGAGGAGACAGAGATTACAGATTCGTCCCTCTGCTGTAATTTGGGTTCAGTCCAGCTCCACAAGTGTAATTTTCTTCACCACATTTATGTTTTCCAAGCCTTGTAAACAGATGATGCACTTGTTTTGGATCCAAGTTTTGGGAATGAAACAGATCGCTTCGGTTTAGCAGGGAACCGGCTCTAGAGGAACGATTTGGAAAAGTTTTGAGCGGTTCCAAACATTTTGTAACAATTTGTTTAAACTTGTTTGAAGTGAAGGAATAAAGGCGTTCAGGGAATTACAGAAAAATGTTCCAGTTCCAGCCTCATCCTGCACGCAAATGCAATTAAATATATTATTTATAATCCGGCTCAGCTCTGGGTCGACATGATGACACTGAACTCCCTGTTGCTTTATCTGCAGTATCCTAGCAGGAACACGCCCGTTTTACACTTTTGGACCCGTTTATTGCAGTCATCTCTTTGGACCATCCACAACAGCTCATTATAATTTTGGCTAAATAAAACATTTTAACTGCTATAATATTTTTTTAATTGAATAATTTTCATTCCCAAAGATAAAAACATTTTATCCATCTTCTTTTTGTAAAAGTTTTTTGTTATTCTTTCAAGACTTGAATATACAAGTAAAACTGAAAAATTATAATTTTTCTGAATAATTAAAAAAAAAAAAAAATATTGTTTTGGCTCAAGACAATTGTTTAAAAAAAAAGCCAATTAAGATTTTTAAATAAAGATATATTAATAATTGTTTTGCCTATTTCAGTGGAATAATTTAATTACATTTTTACAACAGTCAGACTTTAAAACTATGAGCAAAATGTTTTTAAATCTATATTTCTTATTATTTCATAATAATTTTCATTTTTCCAACGGTCAGGCAACATTAGCGACTCTAAACCAGTCTTAGCTTTTGGTTTCATGATATTAAAGCTGCTGAATCCTGAGGTAATGTTATGTAATTTCCATGCAAATCATTTCCTGTTCTTACCTCTCCTGCGACAGACCGACCAGACTGCGTCCATCAACGCTCAGCAGCTGGTCACCTGCTGCCAAACGGCCGTCCTGCAAACATCCCAGAGTAAGACACGCCGAGATTTCCAAACGTCTCACTTTAATGTTTTGCAAAAACTCACTTTGTCCGCCGCTCCGCCTTTCACAACAGACTTGATGTAAATGCCGAGTTTCTCTTGTCCGGCACCCTGCAGAGAGGAAAACCGACGGAAATGAACATCGATGTGCACAATCTGCGTTCACAAAGTTTAAAACACAGAGAACTAATTCAGATACAAAATGAAAAGCTATTGATAATCCAAAACATCATGTAACGCAGATCCAACATCGTCCCCAAAGTCTGTTGCAAACAAATTCAGGAAATCCATCAGCTGAGTGACAAACCTTTCCTTGATTTAAAGTGTAGGAGAAAAGGTTGCAGCTCACGATTATTTAATTAATTGAATACTTTGATTATTAATCAGATTTAAAAAATAGGCACAAATCTGCAGATTTTTCATTTAGCCACATAAGCTTCTTTTATAAAATGTTTGAAATGCAAATAAATTATTTTATTTAAATAAGAAAAACATTTTAATTCCTAAAATAAAAACACAGCATTCCTTTAGTGAACTATTAATCATTTGTCATAGAATAAGAATTTATCTCCAATTTCAAAAATACTTCTAGCAACGTGAAAAACGCAGCTCTGTCTGTCGGACTTATCCACACAGTGTAGGACTGATTTGTTTACCGTTTCTGGGATTAAACTGTTAATTCCAGAATATATAAATGTAATTGTTCATTCCAGATTTGCCTTGTGGATACAGGAAAAGCTCAGAGTGTTTTGGAAACACGGATTGCTTTTATCCGGTTCTGCCTTCCCGAGGTAAATCTGAGCTCCTCTGGTGTCTGTGTTCGAAACCTCAGGGTCTGAAGATTTATTTGTGCAGATGATTTGGTTTTGTTGGCATCTGTGAGCAATAAAGCAATTCCTTGTCAAATAAGAGACTACTGCACAACATAAACATTTTATTCTGTAAAAAAAATGGTCAAATGACCATTAGAAATGGCCAAAAACCTTAAATCAGAAAGAAAAAACTCAATTTTGATACAACAAACAAACCTGGCTAATTCTAGCCAAATAAATCGCACTATGAAGGACAGAGCGATCTCAGTACTGGATATCTGGGTTTTGCATTAATGAGAAGAAAAAGTTTGACTTGCAAAGAAACAAAAACAATTTGTTAAAGCTGCATTGTAATCTTTTTTTATGTGTTGCTTCGCAATGCAGAGAGCAGGTTGTTCTCCGTTATCTTGCACAACGTTGCCACAAAGTTTCTGACTCCTCTTGTACTGTAAATCATGACAGAACTCCTCATTCCTCCTGTTGCTCAAGAAGATTTTAATTACTTCGCCTGGATGTTTGGGTTCCAAATGCACAACAAGTACAGAACAATAAGAACCTAAAAGTCGCTGTACGACAGATAAGATTGAATGTAAACATCCAAAGAGATTTTATAATATTTGTTCAAACTGAAATTGTTTCTTTGCGAATCAAGCTGCATTGTCAATAACCAGAGAGGTCTCAGAGTTTGATTTCCAGAAGGTTTACTGTGGAGGGATATTATTAGATGGCTCACACGGTTTTTATCTGCTTCTCGACATGTTTATCCTTGGAATCTGCAGCGGCGCAAACAGAAACCAAAAATATTTCAGAGAAATGCTTGAGGAGCATTTCTAACATTTCAGCTCCAATAAAGTCAGGGTTTTTAGGATGAGACAATGGCCGACTTCAGAAACAGTTTGATCACTTGCAGTTTGTGTGTAGGTTTAAAATAAATGCAGTTCTGCCACAATCTAAACACGACTTATGCACTTATCTGTTAAAAATGAAACACTTAAAGAAGAATAAATCATTGTTTAAATGTGGGGTAAGAAGAGCAGCCATAATGAGTGCTGTCTGTGCTTTTCATGTTTTTGTCGTGAAAGGAGTGAACTTCCTGTTGGGGACCGTTTGAATACTGCAGCCTCTGTCTCAGACGGAGCCACAGCTTCATGCTTGGGGCCAAAACAGCTTCCAGAGACAATTCAGGGAATTCCCTCCCAATGTCAGAGAGCTTTCAGCAAGTTAGAGGAAACTCAGAGGAGATCCTCACAAATCAAGTCATGTTTACTTTATGTGGCAGCTATTATAAGGAGATTTAAGCTCTTTGAATGAAGTTCATTAGTGAGAAAAGATTAAAAGAACTTCAGAAGGGAATAAATCTGCAGCTGCGGATGTTTCTCTGTGAAGCGGAATCAGTGAAAATCTGCATTTTTGCAAGTTGGAAACAAAAAGGCCTTAAAAACTAAAACTTAAAGTCACAATTTCCACTTGTTCCTCATCAGGACCTTTGACCCAGTTCAGCTGGTGGGAATCAGAAGTTATCTAGTTAAAATAAAAGGCATTAGCTGCGTTTCCATCGACCATATAAATGAGCTGTTTGATATGTCAAAAATACATTTGGGCAAATTTGCCGCTATCACAAAAAAATCAAATAATGGCACGATAAATTAAAACGGGCTCAATAATTTATTTGACTATAAGTGAAATAATCTGCCAGTTGAACTCGGATTTTTTTACTGATAGCAAGCATCTATATCTTGTTAAAAGCACTAAATTAGTGCTCTTGAATTAAGACAAAATTAAGATATTTGCACTAGTAACCAGACAAAATACTTGTTAATATTGTGTGTTTTTGCAGTGTACTGGACCCGAGACAAACATAGGAGGGTTACAGTTATGTGTGTGCAGCTCACATTTTACCCAGAATCAACTGATAATTCATGAAATTCAGTTTGAAATTAAATAAAAGCGTTTCAAACTCTAGTCCTCCATAAAACATTCAGCTCTCATTTCTTTATTATGCGACGACCATTAAAGACACGCTGCAGATTTGACATGACAGATTCTCCCGGGACGGAAAACCGCCACGGACATCGGACCCACGCGATCGCGGACAGAAAGTGCTGCTGCGATTGCACCACAATTACAGCTCGCAACGTTCCAGCCTGTGGACCTGCCATGAAACCGCTAATCCACAGCAGAGCGTTCAGAGGCCGGCGGGACGCCCACACAGGTATCAGAGCGTTTTAGTAGATTACTCCGCTGCTCTGCCTGGCTGACATGATGTAATACAACTTTACAGTTTCTAGGCTGAAATCCAGCCAAAATAAAAGCTCAAATCTGATTACAGAGGAAACCAGCTGAGATTTTTGCTTCCAGATTATCAGTGGTTTAGTAAAAAAATCATTATTAATGCCAGATAGATCACTAGCCTTAGATTTAGTTGGAGGAATAATTCAACAACAAAAAAAAACTTTTAGAAAGCAAAACTTCAGTAAATATGGACGTTATAAGCTGCTTCTCAGTTTGGAGGAACCAGTTGAATTTACCAGTTTACATAAACTAAAGTTTTGACATTAGAGCCAATATTTGAGTCAACCAGAAGGAATAATAGTTCGTAAAATGTGCAGCTATACAGAATAATTTCAATCAATTCATGTTTTGCCCTTAGCCTGGCAAAATAAACCTTAGAGTCACCAAGTTGAACTACTTTTAAAGAGTCATCTTTTTTTCTTCGTATTTTTAGGTTTTAAAATAAAGAAAAATAAACTTTTGCAACAAAAGATGGAGGCATTTTCTTCTAAAATGATGTCAAAAAAAGGAAAGAAATTTCCATCCATATGACAAGAAAGTCAATCTGAGAAAAATTACTCGTACGTTTGGAGTTATTGTGTTTAAATTCAATGCAATTATTTCATCCTAAACCCTAAAATTGATCTTTGTCTAATTAATCTATATATTGAATGGGTTTGTCAATTTTAAAAACATGAAGGTGGATCTGCAGCTAATTGCACATTTTTTTGTAACTTATTATTAGCACATCTTAAACAGATCTGTGAAGCAGCCAATCCAGGAGCACCATTTGTTTTCCTTGGACCTGATTGGCTGAAACCCTTAATTGTGGGAAGTTGGTGTAAAACTGGTGATTTGTTCTTTTTCTACAAAATAAACATTTAAGTGAACATCCTCCAAGAGTGGAGATTCAATATTTCTTGCCAGCGGTGTAAAAATACATCACTAAGCTTTCATTATGATGAATCTGGCTGCTGTGGTTTCACTATAAACAGCTGCAGCAACAACCAACTTTTCTGTTTAACTGACATTTCCTGAATCTTTTAAGATTTCTGGGTTATTTATAGGTATTATTATTAATAATAGGGTACGAGTTTCAGCTGTTTTAGAGAAATCCCACACTGTAAATAGAAAGATGCGGTGGAAAAACAGCTTCACCACGAGGCAGAAATGTATTTAGGCAGTTCTGTTTTCCGTTCATATGAACGGCTGCAAAACAAATGCCAAGGAAACAGAAGCTGAGCTCCTGAAAACAGCAGACAAATATAAATACACATAATGGCAGCGGTTTGTTTTAGCTGCAGCTAGTTCCACCGCTATCAGCTCAGTCACGAGCCGTTAGCTCATTACAAAGCTGCTGAAGCGCTCGTCTCGTCTGATGCTGACGGGTCCAAGGACCAAACGTCAATACGATCCAGCTGAGCTGTTTTCGTTCCGTTTGCTCAGGATCTACCGGATGAGCAACCTCATTTCGACTGATCTCCAAAAGGAGAAACGTGACTTCTTTCAGCCAAAACTGTTGAAATTGCAGCGATTACATGAAAGCAGCTGGTTCAAAGTTTTTCCAGTTTATTTATACATATATTTTTATAATAGATTTGAAGCAGCTTCATCTTTACAAATATTTCCTTTCAACTTCATATGAATTCTGTAAAAATGGATTTGCCCAAATATCTTAGACTATTCCTAGACTTTAGCTCGCTAAATAGCTGCAGTTTTCAACAAAGCAGAAGAAAAACTAAAGTTTCTAACAACAAAGATGAAAGAAAATATTGAATGGAAAACTTAGGGTTGGACAATCAATCAACAATATACGTCACATGGTCAATATCAATAAATAATACATCTGGTAGAATACTGACGACTCAATATATATAAACATTTACAGAACTCAGATCCAGAACCGCCGAGCATTCTGGGGGATGTAGGAAAGACGTTTCACTTGCTGAGTAAAGTTGGTGGAATCCACTAACTTTCATCAGCAGGAAATTAAAAACCCGACATACAACCACAAAAACCAACTTTAAAAAGAAATTTTTAAAACCTGACCTGAAGAAATAAATTAAAACCAAAACAATGGACCAGCCGGTCAAACCGCAGAGAACCACAAAGACGGTTTTGATGGAAGAATGAATGAAAATCATAAATGAGAAACAGCTACTTTTTCCACTCATAACTGCAGCTGTAACTACAACTATTCTGGAACAAACATTTTTCACAACTAATTTTATGAACTTACTTTCTTAAAGTGTGTGGATGACGTTTTACAACATATTTACTGGAAAAAAGACGTGTTCAATGTTTGTCATCTTGAAAAAACAGGATTTTTTAAAATCCATCTCTGCAAGAACTAATAAAATATGAAGTGAATGTATCATTAGAAAAATATCTACGTTTTTTGTAATGTTACCTAAAAAATAGCATTTTTGGCAAGTTAAAAACGGCGTTAAAGGTTAAATCTCGCCACACCACAGATTTGTTTCTGCAGATTTCCAATATTTACTCCAAAGATAGAATGAGGCTTAATTTTCCTGAAACTATGATGTAATTTTTTCCACACAAACCTTTATACACACATTTCATTCTACCGCGACACACACGCTGTGAACCCGTCCAACCTGCACAGGAAGGCAAACGGGTGTGTGTGTGTGTGTGTGTGTGTGTGCACGCGCAGTACATCCTCTCATTGTTCCTGCCTTCACAGGGGAGAATGCTCTCATGTTATTGTTTCAGGAACAAATGAGTTCAGTCAACAAACAAATCTGAGCAAAGCTTCACTTTGGAGAAACAAACAAAATCCGGCAAAATTCTTTCAAACAGGAGGGAAACTTTTCCAAAGATTAAATGCCCCAAAGTGAATTGGCACAGGTTGTTTTCTTAAAATGAACTCAAAATTGTTCATTTCTGCTCTTAAGATTGTTGCCTGTGGGTTTATCTTATTTAATAAACCAGATTTGTGAATAAAACATTCTCCAAAGATATAAAGAACATCCTGTATGCTTCTTTATCTTGATAATGTGCAGAATGTTCTGCACATCAAAAGTCGGCTTACTCAACTTTTTCATAATAAGAAACAATTTGTAGTGTTCTTTGAGGTCTGATCTGCTCAGTCAGATTTTTTTAGTATTGATTCAGTTTTCTGGACTAAGAAAAACTTGTGCTGCAGGTGTTTCTTTCTCTTCCCTACAGATTTCTTCTAGTTTTGCTTTTTGTGTTTTTGTTGCAAATGAATATTTTAGCAATTGAGTAATCTATCAATTATTCTTACGATGAATTAAAAAATATATCAAATAAATAGCGTTAGCATTGAGACTATGTTAGCGTGGTTACTTTTTGCTGTAATTAGGCTTGAGGCATGTTGCCAGAGTAACCTTGTTCATTTTTGGCATCATGGCATCTGTTGCTGCAGCTTGCATTGTGGCTTTTTGCTTTAGAGCTGCATTTTTTGTTCTACCTCATGGTTTTTGTTGTTGCCTTGTGGTTTTCAGATTTCTGTGACCCGTCAAGGCCACCATACAAAAGACAAAGACTCATCTCACACAGTTTTAAAAAATATTCTTTGGACCGACTAGAGAAAGTAATAGGACCAAGAGAAACAGCTTTACCGTCCACAATATAAACTGGGAGCTTTGATGCATTTAACGAATGAGAAATGAAAACTTTACAGTAATTTAGCTGCGATTACCAATCAGTGATAGTTCAACAATCTTAATTCAACCACAAGAAGACATTTCCACAAACATCTTCTAATCTGCCTGTTGTGTATTTTTGTCTAACCATTAGCAGAACGGCCCTGAAAGCAAACAGTGAAACCAGGAGGTCATTGACTGGATGACAGCAGATCAAAATCTATGCTAAATGTTTGTTTGATGCAGATCAATCCAAAGCAACTGAAGATCTGTGGGACATTTTAAGCCAAATCCTTTTAGGCTTTTATCATTACTAAAAAGGGAAAGAACATAAAAAACTTGCTAATTTTTACTTAAATACGTGGTTACCTGGTCTCTCCTGCCCACCACTGAGAACCACATGTTGCTGCTTCCTGCTAAGCTTTCCCCAAACCAGTTCAGGCTGCCACGTCCAAACTGGTGGAGGGACAAGAACTGTGCACACCTGCTTTTATCTCCGTGAGCTTCTTCAACCTGCTAACATGAACCGACAAGTCCGGCGCCTCCCAATTACACCGGCTGGAGGAAATCCATTCGAAAGAAGAAGAAAAAAATCAATCACTGTTTACAGACGGAGACGTGGGACAGCAAAGGACTTCGAATTCCCAAAGTTGAGACAAAAAAAAGTCACAGGATTTTACTGGAAGTCATGTTAAAAAGTTTGAAACTTTTCTACAAACACGAGAAGAGTTAATTATGAAAAAGTAATGCAGCAGTAATTCCTGTAAATGTGTCCAAAAATATGCGGGGGATTCCAGAAATGTTTCCGAGTGAAGCCCAACTCCTCCACATGTTCCAAAGCGCACAGTTTGTAAAACTGTGATTCAAGAGGTGAAGCGTCTGCTGGGACGGCTGCTGGTCAGACTGAGGTGGAGCGCTACTGCAGCGCCACCAGACAAACACACACACACACAGGGTTATATAATAGGCCAGAGCTCAGCCCAGTTTACCGTCAGCTCCAGCAGCCGCTTGATAAAATGCGCTCTACCTGCCTTTTCCCATCCCACATACTCGTTACTTTTCCTCCTCCTCAGACATCCCAGAAAAAACAAACGCAGCGAGGCGAGGAGGTTTCCTCCGTGCGTCCTTCCTCCCCACACACAGACTCAACACGTGCGCTCTGCAGCACAGGAAAGCTCTCGACTTCAGCAGGAAACTCGCTCTTGTAAAACAGACAAAGTGTCTTGATGCTTCATGCTAACAGCTGACACTTCCCACCTTATCTACCACAATCAGCTTCTCACTGTTTACAGAAGCTAAAAAGCCATTTTAATGCAAACATTGGTAAATGTGTGGTTTCTGGGAGAATTGAAATGACTTTCAAGTCCTAAATTGATTCCAGTCAGTAAAATTTTAAATAAATATGTATTCAGCTTCATCTGACATCTTTGAAGAAGGGCAATACATAATCATGATGTCTTTTAGTTTCAAACATTCAAATTCAGTGGGCGAAGATAAAAATAAACAATAATTTGTTCCAGTAAAATATTGTGATGAAATATTAACGTTTTGAAACCATTTTCAGCTAATATGACGATTTTGGCGTCAACGGAAGTTTGTCCTCTCAAAAATGTAACTTTAATTTTTATGCAAAACACTGCAACTAAAAACAATAAATAAAAAGGAAATAAAAACACATAACTGAAACCATAATTAAAATTAATTATGATGAACATTTGCTACATTTTCAGCTGCAGCGGTTTGCTTTCACACTCCTCTGTCAAACAAACCAAACTAATTGAAAAGCCAGTTCCCCTCCTCGCCTTTGGGAGCGCTGCACCTAAAACTAACGGAAAAACCTCTGAGGACACTGAGCTCAACTAGCTTCTTTACAAAGTGCAAAAGTGTTCCGTTTTGCAAAATTCCTATTTTGTTATTTATCAAAAAAACAAAAACATGAGCCATTTCTCCCACTATTCAAAGTTGCATTCAAACTAAACCAGTTTATTTCAAATGAACTGAGATCGAGGTTTGTAGGGGGACCAGAGTTCGATTGCGCATTTCTGTTTCTGCACATAAACTGGACTCTTAAAAACAGGTTTAAAACAAATTAAACAGCACTGGTGTGAAGACGTTCTTAGATTCAACATCAAATACTTTAGATGAAAGTTGTCACTGATTTCACCCAGAAGACTCAATTTTAGCTCAGTTTTATGACAAAACACAAAAACATTTCCTTCAAAGCGACTCAAACACTGCGCTTTAAAGTTTGAAATGAATTTCAAGACAACCTTAAAAATCTGCAGGCTGACCATAAAAATACACATATTGTCTTTTCTAGGCACATTTCCTAGCATAATGAACTGTTACCTTCAGTTGTTATAAAAATGCTGTATATGTGAAATAGGTCTTAAAATAAATTTTACTTTGTCATTGGCCTTCTGTCTCTTTAAAAACTCTACTTTCAGGAACTCACAATAATCTGGCTCCTCTATTTATCCTTTAATAGAGGAGTTTCTCTAAGTAGCTCCTACAATGAGCTCAGTTCCACCAGGTGTTTGCCAATTGCTGCTGGCTAGCCAATTGCTGCTGGCTAGTCTCAAGGAGTTGAGTGGAGGAGGCGCTGCACCTCGAAGGCGGGGCTAAGTCCAACCAGGTGTTTTTTGTACAGCTGAATGGTTGCCAAGGAGATTAAACTTGCATTAAAAAATAAAAAAATCAAGGAAACCCTCCTGGTTTGTTTTTGATGAAGGAACAACATTAAAACACGACGCTAAGCTAAAATAGTTTTATACAACTCTGCACCTTCAGTCCTACTTAGCAACTATTTAACACAAAACATGAGGAACAACTGAAGCTGCAGACTTTCTGTAGCTCACAGCCAGGCTGGAGGTGAACAGAGCAGTTTCTGTCCAGAAGCTTCTGTGCAGCGTCAGTGTTTGGTTTTCGCTCCACTGTCAGACTCAACAGTGAGAGCAGAGCAGCTGGTTCTGTCTGCACCCATCCAGAACGCTCCATGTGTTCACAGCAAAACAAAGAAACACACAACCATCAGGTCCTACCTTGGCGGCCACGATGCTGAGGCCCATGCCGTTGGTCTTCTTCAGGGTCACCGTGACAACCTCCGGCTCTTTCCTCATTGGCTGAAAGGAGAGAGAGACAGGAAGGACAAAGTGTAAAGAGGAAGAAACCTGCGGCGTGGATCTGAAAGGCCTGGAAAGGACGGAGCGAACGTCCGAACGGTGCGGAGAAACGCTGGAAACTGAGTCAGAAAAACAGGGAGGGAAAAGGGAGTGAAGGAATGAAGGAAGGATGGATGGATGGAGGGGAAGACCGCAGAGGGACCTGTGGTCTCTGGAATGGAGTCAAGAATGAAAACCACATCATGGCAACTCAGAGACGCTTATGTACACACACTTATACACACAGCAGGGCTCGCTTAGGGAGGGCGGGGCCACAGGGCAGGGAGAGACGGAGAGCTGAAGAGGTTCCCACATCATGGCGGAGGATAACAAAAATAAAAAAACACTAAACAACCCAGTCTGTTGTTTCAAACACAAACTGGTGGTTAAATCGTTAAACAACAAAAACACAGTTTCAACAATAGCTGTTTTCATTACAAATGCGTTCAAGACTTTGTTGATGTTCCGCTAAAGTAAAAAAAAAAAAAAACTATTTCGCAATTCTGGTGTTTCCATTCAATAAGAAAAGTAATAAACAGGGGTTGTACTTTTCCCTCACAGTTAATTTCAAGCACTTTTCAAGCATTTTCAAGGTAGGTTTTCAAGCTTTTCCACACTTTAAATCCAGTTCCAGTTTGAAGATGTTTTCAACAAACCTGCAGCTCAGATCTGGATTGAAACGAGTCGTCTTTGCTAATAGCCATAACTTTTCATTTTGGAGATAAAAACAAGACAAATTAACTAAAAAAAAGTTTTGATTCACTATTACGTTTTTTATTACAAAGCAAACTAAAATATAACATTTGATGTGTTGAAATGTTTCCCTCATCTGATTGGTTTGAAAACAAAACACTAATTTAACAAATTTTTCCCACATTTCTCATGGAAACACAGCAGATAATAAAATAAATATATTTAACCTCAAAACAGCAAACATCACTATTACTCTGTAAAAATCTGAATATTAAGATAATTACAGGACATGCTGGTTAACCACAGAAATGAACTGAAACATGCTAGACAGACACTTTAGACCTTAACTTCACCACTTTTCACCACTTTGGGTTTATTTTTTCACCCACTGTAAGTGTTTAGCTCCGTCCTGCCGCCTGCCTGAACTCACCGTTAACCAGAGACGCCTGGATTATGTCGAGACTACAGTCATGAAAAAGTGGAGCAGGGATAAACAGACCAATTACACAGGAAGTGGCTGAGTGTGTGCAGTCTGTCATTTACTGCTGCACGCTCACTGACTGACTCCTCCGCTGCCGTTAGTGTTGATTAAACCGAGAGAGTCTCTGAAGTGAACGGCGCCGTTGGACTGGAGGACCACACAGGCGAATCTCTGGGCTTGAGTCAGAGCCGCTAAAAATAGACCGACCGTCAGTCGAGACGTCAGAGGCTTCGCTTCTGTTCAGGAATTTTACCTTTTTGGACCAGAGTCTCATTTACAAGCAAGAAATGTTCCATTAAATCTGAGGAAAATTTATCTAATTCACCTTCTATCTTATAGTTCTGCAACATTTTACCGTTTCTCTCTCTGTGTCCGTCGTTTCCTCTCAGTTTCTCACTATTTTAAATTATATTTCAGTGTGCGTTTGTTATCGACATAATGCTTAATTTATGGCTAATGAATGTTTTCGCAAAGCAAAAAGTATTATAAAAAAAAGATTATTCTGCTCTCTTAAAATTGTCTCAATGTCTTTCTGCGACTTTTTCATCAACATTTTTAGATGAAGACATAAAGAAAACCAAATATCTTTTCTTCCCTGCAGCTATATAAAAAACAACCCTTTAATTTATGATAGAAAGAGAACATTGAAATGTCGACAACTATCAACCTTAAATATGAAGAAAAGGTTAAAGATAGAAGAAATAAGTCTAATATTTCAGTGCAACTTAATGTTTTCCTGAGTCAGTTTCACTTCAAAGTTTTATCTAAAAGCGACTTCAAACATAAATATCGTAGTAGGAGGGATGAGAACAGTAAATAAATCCATTAATATTTATTTACCAAATAAATAAGTACAATTAAAATCTGTGTGATACCATTTCAGTGTTGTCTGCAGCAGAGAAGTGGTTGTCGTTGTCGGCGCCTTCAAAGTGGACGGTCCAGGTACCAGGAGAGCGAGGATGAGGAGTTAGTCTGCAGAAACCTGGAAAAAAGAGAGATGCATAGCACGATCAGAGAGAGATAGGATCTTTAGAAGAAAGAGATCAGGATCAACGGGAATACAGACGGAGAAAGAGATAAATTCCTCTCTATAGAGACACAACATGAGAGACAGATGGGTATAGAGACCAACAGAAATAGACAGACACATTGAGTAAGAGACCAATTTTGATAGGCAGAGAGACAGACAAATGGAAATAGTGAGAAGGAGCAAGAGAGATGGAGAGATAGAGAGCGATGAATAGACTAAGAGAGAGTGATAGAGGAGTATAGAGAAAGACAAGTAGAGCGAGATGAATAGACTGAGAGAGCGACAGAGATGGATAGACACAGACAGACAGTGAGAGATGGAGACAGACGTACCCCTCTGCAGCAGCGGCTCCAGGAAGTCCTGCAGCCCGTTGGGGAGGTGCCGCACCACGTCGCAGGAGTAGCCGTCCTCCGGCAGCAGGAAGGGCAGCTGCAGGTCCGGGTCCTCTTCCAGTTGCACCTCTCGGCCGTCGCTCCTCGCCAGCTCGTCCGCCGTGTTCTCCGCTACCGCCACCACGTGGTCTATCAGGTCCTGGACACATAGCACAAAGGGACTCTCAGAACCGGCTCCGGTTGGAGGCGCAGGCGGCGCCGGTCGGCGGCGGCGGCTCACAGGCGGGATGTAGGGCTCGTCCTGGGCGCAGCGGTAGTTGGTCATGAGGGCATGGAGCTGCAGCGAGTTCAGCTTGAAGCAGGTGTTGTGGATGTTCTGGACGTCCTGCGTGGAGTATTTGTCCATGGTCAGCAGGGTGGTGGCCTGGAGGGACAAAAAAGCAGAATGCATCACAATCTGAAAAAGATTTATATTCAGAATGGAGTTTATTTTGTCAATCTGCCTCTGAACATTTTCTACAGTTAAATCTGCATCCAGTTTTTTAGCCATTTTTAAATGAGCTGAATTTGGATTCAGCTATAATTTCATGTAGGAAATTCACAGGTTCAGCATTTTTAGATGATTTTAGTTTGTTTTTAATATCAGAGTTGATCAACAATATGTTTTAAAGTGGGTGGATGGATGTATGACAGAGAAACAGGGATGGAGGGGACAGAGGGGCATGGATGGACAGATGAACGAACTGATGGAAAGATGACTGGATGAAAAGAAAGATGGATAAACAGAGTAAAGTGCTTCGGAGTCCTCTGGACTTGATAAAGTGCTGAACCATTTCAGCCCATTTAAAATAGTTACTTTTTTGTTTTACTATTTTTTCCAAGCGCAAGAAAATTATTCAAATAAATTCAAACTTTTCCAACTGATCAGAAACCTGATAAACTTCCTCTTTTCTCCTCCCAGCAGGCGTCTCTAACTGCGCCATTAAAACTCTCCTGGACTTTTTCTGAGGCTAATCAACATTTTCTTCACATATATCCATGAGAAAGCAGGAAACCCTTCAATAAACAAGTATTTATTTATGATTTTTCTAAATAAATAAAGCTGATTATTGACAGTTTTTACCTGGACAATGCGGCTGAGGTGGCAGTCGGCAGCCAGCTCCAGGCCCTGCTTCTCAGCCCAGGACTCGATGTGGCTCAGCTGCTGCCGCAGGATGGCGCCCCAGTAGTGGCAGCACAGTCCTGAGTCGGCGTCCGTCACCAGCTTGTTGAACAGCCACATGTTGATGAAGTGGAAAAGCTGCGAGAAGAGCTGGATGGTGAGGGCGGCATTGACCCGGCAGCGGCGCAGCAGCGACATGGCGCCCGTCAGCGTCTGCAGGACGTCCTCTGGGGACATAAACACGAGACCTGGATGAAACTTTGCACTGTCCAGAACCACTGAGAGCTGAGATTTCGAGACGTTAAATCAGAAATACATCAGTCCAACTATGTTTTTGTTGGAAAGAAATGTACGGCATCACATTCCTGCCTGGAATCATATTATCCAAGAGCGGATAGATCCGATCTTTGGCTTTTCCATTTATTAGAGGGTTAATGAACGCAGCATGTCATGGGGTAAAACACGCAAAAAAATATGAGCCCCCTCTTCTCTTAGTGGTAGCAATGGTCAGCAGGGGGCGGTAACTTCTGATTGGCCAGATTTTCAGCTTAAACTGGATGACAAAACCCCCCAGAAGAGCAGGAGAAGAAAAACAAGAAGAAACACAGAAGACAAGCAAGACGACTAAAAAGAAGATGAAGACGACTTAAACCACACAAGGAGAGGACGGAGAAGAATGAAAGGAAAAGGAAAGCAGAAATACAACTTTCCTTTTCCTTACCTTCTTTGTCATCCTCCTCTATGCTGGTGCTAATCCGACCCATTTCACTGAATTTGCTCGGTTCTGAATGAAATCTGAATGCAGCCAAAGCGATGAAAGAGGGAACCACTGTAGCATTTTAAAAAGCTTCTAAGAATCATTTTAATTTCTCCTTAAAATTACCGATCTTGGGTCTCTGTGGATTATGTTCCTCTGGGTCGTCCAGGAAGGCCGGCATGTAGTTATTCAGATCCGCCTGCAGGCAGTGGACCAGGTACCTGACGAAACAACACAAATCATTAATGACACAAAAGTCTGAGATATCACCTACATTTTAAACTGAAATTAACCTTAAAACTGCTAGAAGAAGCTTTAAGAGTCTCAAAAATTACAAGATGGCATTTTAGACAATAAATTACTGGAGACTTAAAACAACCAATAATGCTTTATTACACTGAGACGTTTGTCCATGATCTTCGATAGCAACAGATTATCCTTAAATATCAGTGAAATGAAGTATGCATTTTGTAGTAATTGTTCTCAAACATTTGTCAAGAAAATCTTATTTAAATCACATAAAGTTAAAATATCGCACACTGCTGCTAAGCTAAAGGATTTACTAAACTTATATTTTGCATAACTCACTGATTGTTCCAAACATATATCTATAGAAAGTCAAATCAGATCCTTTCAAGTGGTCTCTTAATTTTTTCCAGAGCTGTATGCTAATATTCTCTTTCTGCTCCTTTTCTTTGATGATTATTTTTAGTTTAGCTACAAGTTCGATTCACATTAATGAAAGAAAGAGTGAAGTAAAAAGCGAACGGACTTGAAGGCCATCTGGACGAGGTGGGCCAGGATGTCCTGGGCGTCCAGCGTGACACGGCTCAGGTCCCGGTCCTGCTTGATGAAGTTCAGCAGCTCGGAGGCGTTGGCCATCCAGAAAGCCAGCGCTCCTGCGATGTTCTTTTGTTTCTGCAAATGCACCGATCACAACCACAAACACAGACAGACAGAAAGAAAAACATGGAGAGGAAGCTGTTAGAGCTGCAGGCTGCAGGCCAGGCCGCGGATGTTAGCGGTAAGAAACAGAGGGAGGTTTGTGTTTGAGTGGCAGCCAGAAGGAGCAGTTGTTACTTCAGAGATAGATTCATGCCTCAAACGCCCCAAGCCTGCGTCGAGAAGATCGGTCATTGCTGTTGCATCAGGGAGCAAAACAAAACATCTCCACTGCTTTTCCAACACAGTCTAACAGTTCAACGTGAAGGTAACCTCTCCTTTTCCCTCCAACACACACACCTCCAGTCACAAACGTCACCAGACACAGAGCGGATTAAACAGTGTTCACACTGCAAGCAATGAGGAGAACATAAACAATGGGATTTACACGGCAAAAATAAAATTATACTGGAGCTTAAATCCTAATACTGGCAATGGAAGCAAGGTTTAAAAGTAACATTTTGATGCCATTTATTATAGAAAAATGTAATTTTCTGTAATCTTCACTGTAAAAACACAAAATCTAAGTATTTTTATCTAGTTTCTAGTGCAAATATCTTCGTACACTAAAAATAAGGAAAGTAATTTGCAAGTAACTTTTCAGCAAGACAAAGGAGCGTGTTTTAAATCAATTATCCCTTAATATTGATTAAAAAATACTAGCAATAATTGAAATAACTGCCAGAGGAACAAGATATTTTTCACATAAGTGATAATATCTTTTTCCACTGCCAGTTTTTTTAAGGATTTAACTTAAAATAAGCTCATAAAGTTGTTTGCAAATTAGTTTTGTTTTATTTCAAGTGATTTAAGATATTAACACTACAAATTATTCTGGAAATACTTGGTAGGTTTTTGAGATTTTGCAATGTTTTTAAATATACTTAGTAAAATAAAAGACAAAAATTAAAACCTAAAGACAAAGTGAGATAATTCGTTCATCTTCATTTCTTTGTTTTTGTTCTTTACTGTTTATTTAAACCTACAACTTCTTGTAAAAACCATTTATACCGTTAAATTATTACATTTCAATTGTCCAAGCAAGAATTTTGACTTCAGTTTCACTTTTCTATCGGTGTGCAGATATTTGAAGGGACAGTTTAATCTAAAATCAACTTTCCTTTAATTTATATCATGTTATAATGCCATTCACTCACAAGAAACTAACTTACAATTTTTAAGCAAGTTTTTTGTTTTATGTCATTACATAAATTGATTTAAAAAAAGTTTCACTGCAGATTATTTCACTTATAACATGGGAAAAATGTCGGTATAAGTGAAATAATCTGCAAATGGAACTAGAAATTTTTCATCAATATTAAGAAATTATAGATTTTAAAAAGTTCCTTTCTTTGCCTGCAAGTTAATTCAAGTGTACCAAGATATTTACACAAGAAAGTAAATCAGAAATACTTTTAGTTCCACTCTAAATACATTTGCCGTGTTTCTCTAGAGCAGCAACAAACAAGTTTCAAAACAGCCTGAAAACGAAGTTGGTTGCTTGCAGAGTGAACTTAAAAAAAACAATATGAAAAGGATTTATGATTTGTTTGAATCAGGAGCTGATTGGACCTGCACTCATCTAACCCCGCCTCGGAAACAAATCACACAAAACAAAATAAAATAAACCTTCACTCAGAACAGCCAGAGAATGAAAGGTTGCATCCAAAACAAAACCAGGTTTGAAACACAGATGAACATGTTCAGTGAGTTTCCAAACAGACAAACGAAGCAGATGAGGTGGAGGAGGTCAGAGGTCACGACTCGTCTCTCATCCACACTGCTGAGGAGAAGCAAGACGTCACACGGACAGAGAACAGACGCCGGAGTTACAGATGGAGCCACAGTGAGAGAGAGTGGTTTGCTTTGGGTTTTCTCGGTTTATTTGGTTGTTTTAGTACCAGGCAGGATCCAGGAAGCTAAATGAGATTAGTCAAGTTGTTGTTGCTGTTGTTGCTTAGTTTTCCAGCTGTGGATAGGACATGTAGTTATGGCTTTGGTTTATTGTTTGGTTTTTGTGACATTTCTGTTATGATGGAAAAGAAAAAAAATAAAAATAAAAGGAGCAGCAGCAACAATGATGGGCTGGTTTTAAGAAAACAAAGCACAGAGAGAGACGAGAAGAGTGAAGGAAGCAGAAGATTCACGAGGTTGAGCGATGTGATTTTATTCTCGGTAAATCTGATGTTGGGTTGTTTGAAAACTTTCCCCCCTTCAGTGATGCAATCGCTTCAGCTCCTCTCTAATTGGACGAACACCACAACACTGAATAGTTTCAGCTGGTGCGGAAGAAAAATAAGGCTTTCCAGCTCTGGGGAAGAGACACACCTACAAATTGTGCATATGTTTTTTGGACTGCAGTTTATATAAGAAATGTATCCTACACATCATCAGTGGGAAGCCCTAGAATCATACTGATCAGTGGTGACGTGCCAAAAGCAGAGCTAATTTTTCCATTTAGCAGTTTTTGCTAACGTAGCATCCTATGAATGCATTTTTACAGCTGAATTACAGAACTCTGAATTACATGGCTGATGAATAACCATCTGTGTCGAAGTTTTTAGTCATTGACTTAAAAATTCTTCAGGTAGTTAGAAGTTTATTCCATGCTCTTATTTTGAAGGGGGGCAAAGGCTGTTTACACAGCAGTTCTGTTTCCTCTTGCAGAATGTGTTTGTTTCCTCAGAATGATCAAACGTGTAAATAATGCTAGAAATAAATCAGTTGTAGTTTAAGGGCAGATATAATTTTATTTGATATTGGCACTTCATCATTAACTTCTGCTAAATACCGTGTTGACAGCGTGTGAAGCTAATGTTTATGGTTAGTGCTGTAAAGCTAGCTTTTTAGTTAGCCCATCACTGCTATTTACAAATAAGGATGGAGAAATAAGCGTATGCATTACTTCATTAATTTGAATTAAAGCAGGATTTTGAACTGTTAAAAAGGTGAAAAAATACAAATTCAAATCATCCTCACCATTTCACAAGATACAATATGTATCCTGCACTACCAAGGTAAAAAAATTAACAACCATCTGCTGGCTGAAATGTGAACATTGTGACCTTTTGAGTTAATTTCCCAGTGATACATGTCGCATTAAAGGTTATAATGAATTATTAACCTACGCTTTAATGTATTTGTGGAATTTTACCTTATTTCTGCACTTTTTATTTCCATCTTAAGATGTTAGGAGCTGCAGGGAACGGTTTCTATACTTTGCTTCCTGTTTTGGATAAAAACTAATAACATAATTTTTTGATGAAGGCAATCAAACATAAAAAAAAAATCTTAAAATTGAATAATGATTGGTTTTTCTCAACATCGCCCAACCCAAACAGAGAGAAAAATGGGTCTGTAGAGAGGAGAAAGTCTTTGGCAGCCATATCATGGTGTGCTGTTGTGATGTCCTACCTGATCCCCTTCAGCAATCTCCTGGACAGAAGGAAGTGGAAGAGGAGGAGGAGGAGGAAGAAGAGGAGACGTTTACAGGACAGAGAGAAAACACGTCAACAGCTACAGTATGGACACGGCATGTCAACACAGAGACACTCTGGCTCACACATGGTTTACACAACGCAACCCAGCAGGAGTTCATGAACATCAGACTGATGGACGTGAGAGGAAAACATAGAAACCGTCGAGATTTCTTACACATGATGGAGCTACAATTTAAAACAGAAAGAACTTGGACACTAATTCAGGATATTTAGCTTTTCTATAAGCTTTAAATCATTTATAACTGAAGGATGCATGATAATTCGTATACAGAAACTGATTTTCTTTTGAGCTTTTTTCCAGTTTCTCCCACAAAAAGCTCTGGTTCCAAGTATTTAGCCGAATTAATTTTCTACTTGAACATTTTGGAGAATTTAGTGGCTCTTCTGCTCAGCATATTGCCAACAATGAATGAAATTATCATGAGAATGACAAAACGTGCATCTTAGGTGCACAAAGGAGCTTCATCGAAGGTCCTTCCTCACAGAAGACGCCACAAGTCTTTTGGGAAGCAGCCTCCCCAAAACACTCAGTAAATCTGTCCATCACTGCTGCTATTTGCACAATATAATGTTCTAATTAGTCTGTTAACTTTTTACTTTATCTGAATATACAATTTTTAATAACTAATTTTGCAAAGCTGACCTTACTGTACTTCTTCTGTTTGACTTTAGCTTTCTTCTGGTACAATACATTTCTATTCTAAAACATCTATTAAAATTACATTTAAAACTTCAACAGGGAATGTCAACAACAACAAAAAGCCAAAGTGAATCTTTTACCTCACAACCATTTGTTTCATTATTCACAGCTACATGCACAGCCTATTGCAGGTGTATTTATAAACACAGCTGGTTATAATATTGGCTGGCAGGAAATACTTGAAAAAGAATATGAATATGCTTTACTGCCCCACAGTGGGGAAATTCAGGTGTAACAGCAGGAAGGTGACAGGATATAAGGGCATGTAGAGTCAAGATAAAAGTATTTTTAAAAAAATTAAGAGTAATATATGGTTCTGTAAAGGCTATAAACTCAATTAAAAATGTACAAAATGTGTATTAAAACAGACTATTTACAATATGAGATGGTAAAAAAAAACTGTGCAAACAGAAAATATGGAAATATCAGCAGAAATATTATTTAAAATGAAGAAAACTGTTAAAATAACACAAAGTTTCAGATGAAATAATCTGGTTCATACTGAAGCAAAAAAAAAAAAAAAAAGAGCTGGGTTTAATTTTAACATTTTCAAATTGTTGGTAGTTGAAAGTGTAGTTTAAAAGTCCTAATAAACTTACTCCTACATCCGAATTTAAGAAAAGTGCAGGTTCTCATCTTTCGTCCCCAGCCTCATATTGAAATATCTTCATGAATGCAAATAAAATTAAACCTACTAAAGTCCACAGGATGTGTTTTATTTAATAAAGTCACTGAACACCAAAAAATTAAAACAAAAAACTGCCAGTGAGTTCAAATAAAAAAACAAAAACAAAAAACACAAAAATCCAAACATGTACAGAAGCTTCAGAGAACTTTATGCATTTCTTTGCCGTTTTCCCGTTTGCCCTTAAAACCGATGGGAAATACACAAAACACCAAGCGCAAAGGAGTCAACAGGCGAGCAAATGCAAACACACTTACAACTATAACGTGCAGTTTGTAAGTAAAGTTAATGTATAAACCCAGAATGCCCACATTTCAACAAAAAACAGCAGCATGGGAGGAACCTGCTGGACTATCAGGAGCAGAAAACGGTGAAAATGACTCGTGAGATTAACGTCCAACATGGAGGAGAGGGTTACTGACCTGGATGACGCCTTCCATCATGCTCACCATCTTGTTGATGATGGCGATGACTTTATGCGTCCTCTCCGACGGCGACATGTCGGGCCGGTACGTGGGCGACAGGACGTAGCGGCAGGCCATGTACAGGACGTAGGTGGGCGACAGCTTGAAGTGGACCGTGGAGCTGTTGGTGTAGTTGATGATGGCCGACAGGAAGGTGTCCTCCGCTGCAGAACAGGAGTCAAGTTTTACCATCACATCAAATCAACATGGCTCAGATTTACATATGCAACTACATTTATTATGGTTATTAACATTTATTATTCTGGCGATTAATCGATTTCAGATTCAAGAATATTTTATTGCTCCCAAAGAGAAATTAAATGTTGTAACTCATTATTTCTGATTCCTCAAAGAATTATTGTAGATACACAGGAGTCGGCCCACACCGACAGGATCTGCTCCCAATCTGCGGTTTGGGTTTAAGGTACCTCTGATGATGCAGAACTTGGCTGAACATTCCCATGTGGGATTCCCCAGTCAACCACTTGCCACCACTAAAATCTGCTTCTTTTTTACGTTTAAATTGCTTTGAAAAGCGATTCAAGTGAAACTGGTAGCAGCTGGTATTCAGCATCACCGTCTAAAACCATCTCCAGCCTGAAGCTCAGAGCAGAGCGACTGGCAGGGCTTTAACGTGCGTGTGCCTCACCGCCACCACGAACACTCAAACTGCCTCTCTGAGTGTATGATTTCACTCCTGGTGCATTGTGGGTATGCAGGTCTACACCTCAGTATGAGTGGCTGAAACCCTCCTGTGTCTAGAGAAGCGGATGAGCTCACACTACGCCAAACATGCAATGCATACAAAAGCTTGAGGAAGGTCAACAAACACAAAGGTGAACAAAGACAAAGCAAACAGCCGAAGGAGCTTTGAGCTGCACTGAGTGTGGGAAACACCCAGCGCCAGAAAAACCCGCTTTTAGCTCCGCTTGGGACTAAAAGATCAAAACCATGACTTTAAAAATATAAATTAGAGCCATAAAATCTATGTATATGAAACCTAAAACTGTTAATCAGCCTTTCCATTGTTGTATAAATCACAGGAAACCTTTATTGCTCCCAAATCATGTAATAATTGGTTCAGGTTACCCAGGTGACTCTTGCTGTTTGTGATCATAAAGTTCATCCAGTTGGAGAATACTGACAGATTATACAGCTTCTGTCAGTGAGAAACATCCACGGATCACATTAAATCAATAGCTGCTCTCCAAATGATCCTCCTACACATTTGGCCTCTATAATTAGCTTCAGCTGCAGTTTGTTTTTCCAGGCAAATCAAGGAGAGACGGTTTGACTGCATCTGACTGTATGTTTAGCTTCCCTTCCATCCACCACATGCATACAATTTGCTTTACAGGACTAGCATCAAGCAGTTACAGTGGGGTAAATAACAGAAACATTTTGACAGCTAAATTATCGGATGTAGCGTAGCTTAACGGCCGTGAGTAACAAACTGAATGTGGAAAAAGGTGAGGCTTGCACATCGCCTCTAGGACTCACTGTTGAGAGTTATTCTGGAAACAATTGTTTGACTCTTCAGTGAAAACCCCTCAACAGGTATTGTTGGTCGAATCGATTATGTTAATATCTTAATTCACTTGTAATAAGACAAAACCTACAAGTACGTTTTTAGTGAGAAACGGGAGCTTGCTTGAGTCAATAATTCCTTAAAACTGATGAAAATTAACTGGTAGATTATTTCCCTCCATGTTGTAGGTGAAATAATGAGTCAGTGAAAATATATTATTGACTTAAAACAAACTCCTAAAGCTTGCTAATTGATTAATCATCAGGGTAAGATTAATCGATTACTAAAATAATTGTTTGTTCCAGCCTAATATCAATGAAATTACTACATTTATAGCATTGAAAAGGGAAATAATCTGCAAGTGGAACTAGTTAATTTTAAGGAATTAAACTTAAAACAAGATCTTGTATCTTGAAGAAGAATTACTTCTAAGTTGGTTTTGTTTTTTTCAAGTGTAGTAAGATATTATGCACTGGAAACTAGACTAAAAACACTTGGAAAGATTGTTTTTTGCAGTGAAAGTGATTTCTTTTAGCTAACATGTTATATACATTTACCCTTTGCCTTTTTCCTGTTTCTGTCTCACAGAAGTCTCTTTGGAGTGGGTAGGGAGGAGACTTGTTTATGCGTTTGTGAACATTTTGGGGGTAGAAAGCTTGAGGTTTTGATTTAATTTAATCAAAACCTCAAATGAAAGGCTTTCTGAGTGAAATAATCCAGTCTTTTCACTTATGAACGGTGGAATTAGAGGCAAAAATGCTTTCTGGTGAACAGACATTAACCCTTCAGTCAGGGCAGACTGGCATTGACTGGAAAAGGCTCAATAGTTTCCAGTTATTGACCAACAGAGATGCTCACAGTTTTCTCTGAAGTCGATGCTGGCTGGAAGAGTCAGCTCCGTCCTGTCTGCAGAAAGATCCTGGGATCTGTTGAGATGGACGGACACAACTGTGAGAAAACCCCTGGAAGACACGATGGATTAAAATCGGAGGAGGAGATAAGATGGCGTCTGACCTGCTGTCCTGCTGCTCTCCTCGGATCATGGGTTTCACCATGCCTCTCTCCATCTCCAGTTTCCCTGAGCTCTGCAAACAAACAACAACAACTTCAGCAGGATTTTACTTTAAGAGAACAGAAAAAGGAAAAAAGACATTTTTAGAATGTAAAAAATAATATTTGGAACTCCATAAATCTCATTATTCTACCTATAAATTACATATGGAGCTCAAAGTCAGAGTTTAACTGCAATAATAAACCTGAAACTCAACCAAATGACAGAAAAGGTACTAACTTTTAAAATGAATTCAGGTTGATTTCAGGGCTGCAATTAATGATTATTTTTACGATCGATTGATTATTCTGACAATTAATCTCATTTTAAACAGAAACAGCCGACTCCGTTTTATATAATATTAGCAATACGTTAAAATATGTAAATAAATAATCCAATTGCTTTTAAAAATAAACATTTATTGCCTTTATTACTAAATTAGTTGACGATCATTTCAGTAATCAATTAATCATGAATGACATGATTAATCATTTCAGCCATAGTTGATATTTGTCAATTTTGAGGAAATAATTGATAGAAGACTAAATGACATTTTGAATTTTGTTCCTGAAAAGCTTTGAGGAACATCCAGCTGGTGACAAGAGGTAAAAATGTGCAATTTTTGGGTTAAAATTATTTCATTTTCTTTCTAATTTTGTTGACAACAAGATCAATTTCCCATTATTTTCCTTCAGTAGATGTGAAGAAGAGTAAGTAGTCTGTCAATTCCTATAATTGCAATGATGTTTTCTGGTTGCTTACATTTTTCTTTCAACAATTACATTCAAAATTAGTAAAATATTGTCATATACACTTCCTGTTTTATTAAAAAGCGACTTTTCACCTTCCAGGAAAGACAATTATTTTGAACATCATCATCTCTGTAATATGCATCAAATAAACGGGATCTTTACCACAAATGTACAATAATTAAAGAATTGCATCTACTGTGCATAAGTTTAGGTATAATTAATAGAGATGTCAGTGCTTTCATGGCGTAATTTTGCTGAAACTTTTAGTGAAATATCAGGAATAAACAAATGTTTGGTACCTTGCTGGTGGGCAGGGGCGCTCCACTGAGGACGTCTCCGCGGAGGTCAAAGTTGGCCTCTGGTACGCTCCTGCAGACGGCACACAAACATTCAACAGAACCGGGTCAGACTTGATCCAGACGCCATATTTACCTGTCCAACTCATGCTCAGAAAGAAGCGAGCTGCATCTGAGAGGCAGGAGGGGAATAACTCCCTGATATATAAATACAGACACTTATATAACGGTGTAATTAAGAACAAAAACTCAAGCCAAGTGTCTGAGAGAGCGACCAGCTGACCCAGTCTGTGTTTGACATCTATTGAGAGCAACAGAAGTCGGGTTCAAACACAGCAGAACATTTCCACTCTGGTATCGACAGAAAGGTCCATCACATCCATAACAACACAGCAGGCAGTTCAAAGTATGCGAAACCAATCACAGCGTGACAACAGAAACAAACCAGGAATTAATTGGTTTATCTGCAACGTTTCCCAACAATATAAAGCTCTAATCAGGAGTTTACACACATATTTTGGCTCCTAATAATATGGCTTCTGGAATAACATAATTCGACTGAGGTTTTCTTGGAACAGTAAGACTAAATATTCGCTGTGAAGCAGGTTTTACATCAAAATCAACTTAATGGGTGATAGAAGGTGTATTTGGACCAGAGTCTTTTTTCTTAAACTTGAATTAAACAAGTTAAATATCTTCCTACGTGCATGGAGGGAATCCCAGAGTTAGGTTTTATCAGTTATTATGACAATTTATCGGATTTTTTAAAAATGGCACATTCTGCAAGTTTTTCCTTCAACCATCTTTTGTATACAATATTAAAAATACTTTAAAAGTTGAAAACAATTTCTTTTTAAGTAGGAAACAAAATGAATCAACAACTGTGCATCCAATTCTTGTTTGAGAATCCAAAATACGAGAAGATATTCCTGAAGTTGTATGTTGATTTATTCGCTGACATCAGGGTTTAAATTTAAATTTAATGGACCGTTCATGCATGACTTTAACACGACATTAATGATGAACTTGCAGACGGTATTTGGATTGTTAAATGGGTGAAATCTCACATCTTGGTTTTTCGTCATGTTCAGATCCAGACACTCCTCAAAATGTTGCTTTTTTTGTCACTTAATGAACCTCAAAGACATAAAATAAAGACTAAAGAACTAAAACACAATCTCATGACTGCTGCAGTTGTGATACAAAAGACATGTGTTACTCATTGAACGCAACAGCCAAGCGTCGCTCCAGCCTTCTGGGATCTTTAAACTCTCCACTCTCTCCCTGATTGAAGCTAAACGCCGCCGCTGACGGTCCGGTCTCAGTCAGAAAGCAGCAGATTAAAAGGTCCAAACACTCCTTCGCTACACGGCCGTCTGTGCAGCTGCCAAAACGCGGCGCCAAGTACCCTACATCCCTAAAAAACTGCTAAATTGAGGCTGTAATCAGACTTAACATCTCAACGGGACGTTGCTTGGCCTGAAGAAGGTATCTGTGAGAGTTTGGACAGACGCCCAGAGAACCACAGGGATCCACATCCACCACTTCACACACACGCACACACACACCCACGCACTCCAGACGGAGTCACAGCTGCACAGAAACTATGGCTGCTGTTAATAAAAATATCTCTGCCTTTTGTGCAAAAACTCAACGACGATTGCAGATGATTTAATTCTTGTCAGATTAAATGTGGGGAAAAAAGGCTCATTGTATTTGTTGTGATTTGAACATGTCATTCAGATGCAGATTCACCACAAAAACAAAACCCTACAAAGTATCTTTTGTCTAGTTTCCACTTTAAATATGTTGATAGACTTGAAATAAAAAACAAGTAACTTTTCAACAAGAAATATGAGCTTGTTTTAATTCAGTAATTCCTTAATATGAATGGAAAAAGTTCTATATCCATCAATATTAAGAAATTACCAACTAAAACAAGCTCCCATTTCTAGTTTTTGCTGAGCTGAATCATATTCTGTTAAAGCTTATGAGATAAAAGTTACCAGGTGAGCTGGTAACTCAGACTCAAAGCTCAAACTCTGAGATCCCAAAAAGAAAAAACTGACATGCAGTTTCCAAGAATCCGGCTTTTCCAACTCACAACAGTATTAAATTAATCTTAGAAATGAAAGCAATATTTAAAATCCATCTACGCAGCAAATTTAGAAGGAAAACAGCCCATTGATTCCCTCGGATCACATGTGTCACATAATCACAGCAGAGTGCTACGTTGGGGGGTTGAGTGAAAAATGGCAAATCTGAATATTTGACCTTTTCTGTTGCATTTGAAAAATGAAATATGATCCAGAAATGTGGATATTTGGAATCACTATCAGGTCTGTCGTCCTTTTGTTGCCAAATATCTCAAACTATGATTTGATCACCTGGTCAGCCTCCACACTTAGGAGAACAATAAGTTTCCATCAGAACTATGGGACACCACCTAATGGCTTCTTCCTGTTATTTAAACTGCCTTTTCTCTCCTACCATCACAAACGCCATGTTGAACAAATTGCTAAAAAACCTACATTTAAGCTTTTTTTTCTATAGGCAAACATCACTTTTTACTTGTCCAGTTCAGAGTTGGAGGCAACATTCATTTTAGACTCATTTTATGTCCGTTTTGAAAAATAAACGTGTTTCTGACACAGATTACAACTGTTGGTGTGAGAAGAGGCCATATTGAAAAGCGAAGTCATAACTGGGGGTGGCGGGCGTTGCTCCCAGTTTGCTACTGCACCAAAATCAAAATTTAATTACATTTATTTTAAGATTTTCTGCACATTTTTATCTAAAGTGCCAAATGACGTAGATTAAACAAATAGAAACAAGAATCTTTTTCCTGCCACATGCAAAGTGTGTGGGCAGATGGATCCATCATTCATAAAGCAGCGCAGGTGGAGGAACCAGTAAAGAGGTTTGTCTTTGTTGGCATGAAACTAAGCATACCTGACAGAGGAGAGCCAGCAACACGGAAAGAAATGTAGTTTTGCATTTTTTCAAAATTGTGTAAATGAAGACACAGAAATATGTGATTCATTGCAAAAAATCCTAATATGTCAGATAAAATAAGACAAAATGATGCAGCTGGTTCAAGAAATACATGTATAGTCGTAACTAAATGTCATAAACAAAAGAAAAAACTCCAGCCCAGCCGATATTAAAGCCCTCTGACAAAACCAGGTTTAATTTTCTCTTTCGACATGGAGAGTAATCCAACAGGTTCTAATTCCAGCTCACTTTACTGATTACTTCTTCCTCCACGCCTGTAAAAGCTAATGGAAATCACCTGATGGGAGGTTTGAGGCTGGAGTGTAAATATTAACTCAACACTCGCACACCGGGAGGAACACGTCTATATTATATATAAATATACATCTAACTCTCCAGATGAGCCATAAAAACTGAATTTATGTTCATCCTGCAATGAAATTCATTACTTCCGACATCTTTAAGAGGATTTTATAAACTAAAATGACAAGAGTTGAGCTACAATTTATATCTTTTTCCTCTGGAACCGTCTAAAATGGAAAGAGGAGCGAAGGTTACTCACACTCTCTCTCGCTTTCTCCAACTGTTACCAGGTGATGACGCCATTAAAGAGCTATAAAGTGAATATTTCCAAGGCGAAGATCATGTTTAAGTCGCTTCTGCTGTGATCTGCGGTGCTCTGAATGTGAAAGTGCAGCGAGCGGGAGGCCCCACCCAGCAGCATGCTGATCAGATTAGAGGGCAGTCTGCTGCCATAACCCCAGACCTCTGCTCTTCCTCTGCCTCTCATTCCCTCAACACTGCAAAACTAAATCTCACCAAGTATTTTTAGTTTAGTTTCAAATATCTTAGTACACTTGGAATAAAAAAACTAACTTATTAGTAACTTTTCAGCAAGATGTAGGTTGTTTTAAGTATTTCCTTATCCTCAAACAAGATTAATTGTGATTAATCTATTATTGAAATAATAATCCACTAATTTAATAAGTGATTAATCATTAAGTGGAGAATTCAAAGTGAAATAAATTGGATGTTGAGGGCAGTAATTAAGCCAAAACTGTACAGAAAATATAGAAACTTGTAAATATGTTTTTGCCAAAACTCCTCAAGTTTCAGTTCATATTTACTAAAGGAATGCTACATTTAGAAAATAACATTTAATTTTTTTTATTTAAAAAAGGGATTGAACATTTGTTTATTTGCATCCTTTAATGTGTTTCCAATATTTCATTTAAATAAAAATGCATAAGTGATAAAATTAATCATCTATAAAATGTGCTGTTTTTGCAGTGCACGCCCTGCCTCCTCCCTCTTTTTCATCTCCTAACCTCCTGCTCGCCTCTCACTCACCCGGATTTGTGTCGGCTCCTCATGGCGGCATTAGGGTCCCTCTTCCCTCCCTGGTCGAACATGGGATCCACGAACTTGAAGACGTGCGCAGAGCCAAACTGCAGCGTGGATCCGGATCGCAGCACCGTGGTTTCTGTGATGCGCTGGCCGTCCACGAAGGTGTCGGCGTCGTGGCCGTGTGGCGTCACCGTCACCATGCCTTCGCTGTGCATCAGGTTGCAGTGGTGGGGCAGGATGCCCGGGCCGAGCAGCTGCAGAAACGCACACGCATCAAGAACAGAAGCAGAAAAAGAAACGTGCTCTGAAGTCGATTTGATCTGATGGACCAGATGGTTTGCTAAACAGAACCACCTGGAACCAAACAAGTTTGCTGTTCTGTTTCAGATACATCAGCCTTTCATTAAACACAAATTTCATTTCTGCTTTTATTCAGTTTTGAAAACCAGTAATAAATGATTTCCCGCCACAAACTGCAACAAGAAAAAAACATTTTATCTAATTTCTAATATCATGGTGCAACTGAAATAAAATAAAACTAACTTTCAAGTGACTTTTCAGCAAGATATCAGAGCTTTTACAAGACAGAAATTCTTGAATATTGATTAAAAAGTATAAGTTTCACTGACAGATTATTTAACTTATAACAAGACATTTTTCCCAGACTATGAGTGAAATAATCTGTTGCTTCATCAATATTCAAATATTGACTTACAACATGCCAAAGAAAATAAAACTAATTGTGGGCAACAAAAAACAGACAAAGAGACAAAAAAAGACTTAAAAACCTACATGAAACAATCTGCTGCAGTTCATCAGAACATTACTTTAACAAAATGTTTTCCAAACTTTATGTGCAAAACTAAGAATCTTGTTTTAATATTAAAAGTAATCCTTTTAAAAATGTTCAACGCTCAACACCAAAATGTTTGGTATCAAAGTATGAATTTTTTCACCTGTGTCAATAAATTTACTGGTACAACCGAAAACGAAACGATATGGCATCCTCTACTAGTAATGAACTTTGAGTCTTTTAAAACATTTTTATCAGAACAAGTGTGAAGGGTGTGGATTAAAAAGTCAATCCTCTTCAAAACAACAGAATAAACAAATCATACCAGTTTATACGAAATGCTGAGGGCGTTAAAAGGTCAAAGTTCATCAGCAGGTCTGGGTGATGTGCGCTCACCTGGATGGCTCCGTCCTCGGTGCAGTCCGAGCCGACCTCGGTGATGCTGTGCTGAAGCCGGTACAGCTTTGGTTTGTCTCTGGAGTCGGAGCCGTCTGGAAGCACAGAAGCTCTCAGGTTTAGCGCTCAGCAAACCGCATTTAATCCAACATTTCAAGAATAAAAAAATCATCAATCCAAAGTGATGTGAACAGAAGTAAATGTGGAGAAGTTACTGATAATTAGTAAAGCAAAGTTTAGTAAAAGCAATGCAGTGAAGGAAAAAGGTCAACATAACCTCATAGTAACGGATATCCTTTTTTTCTGTCTGTTTTAATAAATCCTCTCAAACAAAGATGACTCAGATTCAAACAAGAAAAACCAACAATATTAATGCAACAAACTATTAAATGCAAAGAAAAATAAAAAAAAAACTTCATATTTGCTTTAGTAACTGATTTTTCTGACGATTAATCGAATAACAAAATTTACATTCTACAGATTTTTTTATTTAATCACGTAAATCTTTTTTTTTTCTTTACACAAAATTAGAAACACATTTAAGGTACAAATAGATAACTCAAGAAAATAAAAATTTTATTGCCAAAAATTGAGTAAAATAGCATCTTTTTAGTAATTCCTAACCAGGCGGACATAAAGCTTCCACTTGAGGAGTTTTGACTAAAACATTTCAACAGACAAAAGTGATTTTATCTTAAATGTAAAATGTATATTTTTGTACAGCTTTGGTCTAATTACTGCTCTAAATATGTTTTACTTTTTTTTTTTTAGCAAATGCCGTTTTTTGAGTGCAGTTAATGATTAATTAATGACTAAATTAGTTGATGGTTATTTGAACAATTGATTAATCATAATTGATCCAATTAATTGTTTCAGCCTTGGACTCAAAAAACCTACAATGACTTATATGTACCATTTTCACTCCTGATTCGTAGTGATAAATGGATATCTGACTTAATCACTGTAAGAATCCTTTATTCCCCATTTTTTAGGGAATGTGTTTGCGCTCAAAGCAGAACAACCCCAGCAGCCGGGACAAACAGGAAGTACGGTGCAGATTTTACCTTCTTGGTGCCGATAGGCGTAGTAGGCATAGTGATTCCCTCGGCCTACAGCAGGCAGGCAGGCAGGCAGGCAGGTAAGAGGCAGAAGGACACGTGCACAGGCCACACACACATAATTACACACACACACACACACACCCAGGCAACCAAAACATGCCATGAGAAAGTGGGAAAGAAAACAGACACATAGCAGAAGGTGAAAATGCAGCAAGGAGGAGAAATAATGCAGCAATAATTGGTTAACCCCAGAAAGCATTCAAAGCGCACTCAAAATCAATTCACACTGAAAATTACACGGACGCCAATTCCTTACAGTTACAAATGCCTTTTTCTTGTAACTTGAATTTTACTAGATCCACAGATTAAATAAACAGAAATAAAATGATCATAAGTGCTGATTTTATATTGTAAATAGAAACCAGTCAAAACTTTACAAAATAAGAGATGGGAAATGAGCCATAAAATTCTAACTAGCAATTTTCTGTCAAATTTACTCCAAAAAAACTGGGGTGCACAATATCGGCACCAACATCAGTACTGAGTGATAGTAGTAAGTTTTTAAACATTTCGGTATCGACCCGATAAATAAAACTGGCCAATATTAACCAGTCGATTTTTATTTACATTTTTTGCTGTCTGTTTCTAGTCAAATGTGTCAACACAGTAGAGAAATATACATAATATCAGAAACATCAACTATGACAGCAATATTAACATCCAATATCGGCCCAAATTTTCTTATCAGTACATCCCTACAAAAATATCAGCATAATTTCAATTTGAGACCAACTTCATCCAACATTACGTCAAATTTTGGTTTTAGCAGCCGGTATGAAAATTTGGGCCAATATCAATATCTGAAGTGCTGCTATAGCAGATTACCAATATTTACTAAATTAATATGGATATTCACCACTGTTTCGTCACCTTTGGAAAAAAACACCAGTAAAAGGAGGCAACGAGACAAAAATAAATATTGGTTGTTTATATTGGTTTATATTGGCCTGGTTTTATTTGTTGGCTAGTTATGTTTAAAACTAGCCAACCAGAACCAAGAGAGGAGAAGCAGCTTTCAGCATCTATGCAACAAATATCTGGAACAAACTTCCAGAAAACTGTAAAACAGCAGAAACCCTGACTTCCTTTAAATCTCAACTAAAAACACACCTGTTTAGAATTGTATTTGAAATGTGATATGTAACAATGTATTGTTTATTCTATGTTGCATGACTTTGTTTTTGTGCTTATGATGTAAAGCACTTTGAAATGCCTTGCTGCTGAAATGTGCTACACAAATAAAATTTGATTTGACTTGATTTTGATTTGAAAAAAAAAAAAGGGACAAATATCTGCCGATGCCGATGTTAGTGCTGCATCCCTGGTTTTTAGAGATGAATAAACTAATCTGGACTTTATTACTTTATAACGAACATATAAAAGCTTTCTCATTACATTTTCTTTATTTTTCAGCCAACATGGCCATCAGCTAAAAATGCACAGAAATAAAAGTAACCTTCACGCACTCACACACTGCCAGGCCTGGCAGCAATAAATCAGTCACCAAACCAGTTTGTAATCCCACTTCACCCACTACCAGACCAGTAAAACCCTTCAGTCAGTATGAAGTACATGTGTTAGTTTTCTCCTGAATGAGGGAGTCAGGTTACCCAGAAACTCACCACCCAGAACCAGGTAGGTGCAAGACTCTGGGTCACCTTTGGGTAGTTAATGATGTGGGAGGATGAAGGTTATCAGAAGCAAAGAGAGAGGAGGGGGATCAGTAGCAAGAGACAAGCTGTTAGGGCAGAAAGTAATCAGGGAAGGGTCCCAAAAGGATCTTTTAATAATTTTGTTGGGTTTAACATTAATTCAGGATTTTATGACAAAACTTACCTTTCACATTCCTACAAATAAATCCCAATATATTTGGTTTTTCCTTCTACTTCAGTTTATGTAATTTCAAATAATTTGTCTATCTTGCAAGCAAATATAGCTGTTGTACTGCCACCTGCTGTTTGGATTCTGTCACAACAGGAACCCACTGGTCATTTTCCTACTGCTACAGTCGCAGATAATATAAAATAAATAAAACATGTTGAGGTCGTACCTGGACTCAGCTCCACCAGATAAGGCAGTTTCTCCGGCGGCATGGAGCCATCTTTCCCTCTTAGCCCCTTGTCGTCCTTCCTCCCCTTCCTGGGCAGGTAATCCGGAGGTCTCTTCTTCAGCTGGAACACCATCGCTCCTGATCCCATAAAGAAAAGAAACTTTTACAAAAAAAACTTGATAAAGTAAAATAAAAATAATAATAATACAGTCAGCATATTGTTATTTTCTGCAATTCAGACAATTTAAATTTTATTCTAGGAAAACAAATATTCAAAACAGGATCTCATAAGAAAGTAAGCGCCTCCAAAACATACTGACAATACTCAACTGGTTCAAATATAACAAATTTATTTCAGCAGGTGATTTCTTATCGAAGAGGACAAAAGTCACATACGGGGTACCGCAAGGCTCAATCCTAGGACTCCTCTTAAATAATATCAATATGCTCCCTCTGGCTCAGGTTAGAATAGAAAATACAATTTCTGCCGTGTTCCTGAAATGTGATTTACAAATAAACTTGAGTCAATTATGTTGCTGTGGAGCAATTTATTCTTTGTTTTTTGTTTTTCAATTCAGTCACACAAAACAGTCTTCAAGCATAAACCACCTGCTAAAAGTCACTCCATACACTGCAAAAACACAAAATCTTACCAAGTATTTTTGGTCTAGTTTCTAATGTAAATACCTTAGTCAACTTGAAATAAGACAAAACTAACTCGCAAGTAAATTTGCAGTCAATAATTCCGCAATATTAATGAGGAAGAACTTGTTATATTGGTAGATTATTTTACTTGAGATTTAAGGAATTATGATGATTTACAACAAGCTCTTATATTTTATTGAAAAGTTACTTGTAAGTTAGTTTTGTCTTATTTCAAGTTTACTAAGATGTTTGCACCAGAAACTGGACTGAAAATATTTGGCAAGAATTTGTGTTTTTGCAGGCTCATCGTCTCAGTTTAGAAACTTTGACTAGGCCACTGAATAAGAGCGCGCTGATTACAAGCCAGACCTGACGAGCCTTAGAACCTGAACTTTTTCAGAACCTTTATCCTACTCCCTGTTGTTCCCTTTATGTGATTTCTTGGTTCTACATGTCTGGCACTAATCTGCCCCGGGTGTGGCTAATTAACCGATCCAAAAGAAAAGAATAAAGTTGTTAATGACAGTAAATTTATGATTTTACAATAAAGCAATTACACTTTGACACTGGCTGGTTGGTTTGGGCACCTTTGTCCCAAACAAAATGGCTCATTTGCATCTGCAAAGCAAAAATATACATTCAGAGTAATAAAAAGCTGTAACGACAGCTCTGAAGCAGAAGGGGGCAGCAGTAATCAAAAGACCGGGGAGACAGCAGGAAGTAAATCCAGTTGTTTTCTTACCTCTGTCTGCAGGCCAATCCCTGAGGATCTGCAGAGGACAGTCCAGATCATCCAGGATCACCTCTTTACCCGTCTTTTCTTCCTGCTGCAAACATCCAAACAAATAAAAGGTAAAACAAGTTAAACCAGATGGAAGACACTTCTAATATGATTACGAAGATTTTATTCACACTAAAACATGTCTGAGTTGAAATTCTAAGCTTTTAACTGATTAATTTGAAGATGAATGGGAATACAAATTAATTTTAAGGTTTTTAGATGAACTGATGGTATTTTCTGTAGTGTGAACAGAACTATGTGGTAACTAGTAACTTTTACATTTTGGAAAACTACATCTTGGATTACTTTTAATATGCTGTACTTTTTATTTGAGTGATTGATTTATGAGTTATCACTCCTCTTACTCTAGTAAAGTTTCTGAATATTGAAGTTCAGGATTCTTTTGACCAAAAATTTACCATATACAGACAAAACTCGCAACTTTATTGAAGTTTTATATTGAAAAAAACTGAATTGGATATTTTTTATTATTCTTTTGCAATTATGTTATTTATATTAATTATTTTTATTTTGGTTCTCAAAACACCAAAATTTCTGCATAACTACAATAATGTGACAATAACATTTTGCTGGATGATAAATTGTACCAGAAATGACAGCAATGAATGACAATATTGTTATTTTGATCCGTTTTTGTGTAAAATAATAACAGTGGTATAATAATGCAAGTTATCAAAGATCAATAAACTTATTTTGTAGAGAAAACACAGAAAGAGGAAAATATTTTAAATATAAAAAGTAAATGAACAAAAACAATAAATGAAACAAAATTTAAAAAAAAATTTAACATTACACAACCATAAATAAAATGATCAAGTTTCTAAACAAAATTGGTCTTAAAAAATATGAATTAAATTATTGGGCTCATTTTTATTTATCATGAGATTAATTGGTTTGTCTGATTATGTAATTTTTAAAGATTAAACATTTTGTTCAGTTATTCTTTTTAACCAAATATTTTTCTTTGTAGTTCTGCTTCTACTTTAGTAAAACCATTAACTTGTTTGTAATGGTTTGGTGCAGCAGTTGGGTTCTTACCCGGGCTATGCAGTACTCCCTGGGGTTCTCCTTCTCCAGCCCGTACTTCTCCAGCGCCTCCACCACGGCGAAGTCGGCCGTGTCTCTGGTGGACATCAGGATGGTCTTGTAAGGGATGTTGGGCTTCAGGCTGTCAGCGTAAATCTTCAAAGTTCCCCCTGCAGACAGCAGAACATTTGTTGCATTCAGATGAAACCAAACAACAAATCAATAACAATAGACACGTCATCAATATCAATTGGTAATACGTCTGACAGTGTATTCAATAATTTCAACAGCTTTACTCTACTCAGCCGGTGAGTTTGGGAGGAAAACTGTTCTTTGGGTTTTGCTGTTTGCGGCCATGATTCTAACACACCTGCGAAGCCCCACAATGCCCCACATCGGGCCTGCCTTAGAGGCACACACCCAATTTTCAAAAAAACAAAGTGAATTCAAAAATACTCTACTAATTCCCAAAAGGGAATTTAAGTGTTGTTTTCACTCATATAATCAAAGTTTCTTCAAAGTGCTGTAGACAGTCCGAATTGCCTTTAGCATGCTGTATTACAGCTTTATAAGAAATTTAGGTAAAAGTTGAGTTAAAAAGAGTTTCAGAAATATTCCACAGATTTTTTAGAAGCTGTATTTTCTGTGGTTTCTGTCTCACCAGCTGTCCAGACCGCGGACAGGCAGCGGTTAGAGCCATTTCTAGAGCCACTTCACTCGTCCTTCCATCTGTCTGTCTGGCGCAGCGATTAGGTAATGCCTGAGTCACAAACCCAACCAGTCAGCGGGTTTGTGCCGTTCACTCAACATGCCTCTCAGTGTGTGTAAACATGCCGGCGTGAGACTTTCTAACAACATATGGCACTCCTGGGGTTCGGTTACAACCACGTCAAAAGATCAATGCAGACTACGACAACAAACATGGCTTCACCATCACGTAACCCTGCAGAATGAGACGCAACAGAACAGAGTCTGACCATGAAAACAAACTGCTACTGAAAACCATCAGCATAAACTTTAATTTAAAAACTTTCTGTAGATCCTGATGGGAGACCAAAGCAGCAGCAGCTGCAGTGACCTGTGATGTTCAGGTCACTCTGCAGATTAACTCTGGGATCACATGAGACTCAACTCCAGCAAAAAAAAAAGATTTATTCCAAAGCTTTTTGCTTTCAGATTTTGTTATGAAAATACAACAGCATCTTCTCTGGAAGAGAAGCTTTGTTTATGGATGACTACTTGGACTACATCGGGTTGGAGCTGAATAATCAGTGAGTCATATCAAAACAGAGAGAAAACATGCTAACATTAACTTAACATTTCAGCAAACTGTAGACATTAGGATGAAATACTTGAAACAGAGAAAAGGAGACAGGATGTACTTCACCGTCTTTAATTTTCAAGGATGTACAATAATTCAATGAAGAAACCAATAACTATAAATGTGTATTTTATTTAGAGACGGTTTGGTTTGGGAAACATTTCAAAAATCTAGACAACTGACTACCAAATATCTGATCAAGAAATTAATCTGAACAGGAAACAACTTGGGAGATTTAAAATCTTTTCAAATTAGTGAGAACCTTTGATCTGCAGTAATGAAAACATCTGAACTTTTTTCCTGCTTTCTTCTGTATCAGGAGTCAGAGACCCAAACCGTGGTAAAGTTACTTTGTTGCAACGATTCGTACTCCAACAGAATTTAAACTGTATCAAATAATGTTTAACGTACCCGACTCTGGCCTTCCATCGCTGCTCATGAACTCCTGCATCCGTTTCTCCAGTTTCTGCTGCCGCCTCCTCTTCATCACCACCTCCGGGTTGGAGATCGTCCTGGTGAAGCTGGTTTCTGGCATGTCCTTATAAACCTCCGCCGCCAGACGGTTGTTCTCCCTAAATCACCAAAATATACAGACAGACGGTGGAGGATGTGGATTAAAAAAAAAGAAAGAAAAGAAAACACACACAGGAGACGGAACAGACGGGTCAGAGGTCAAGCAGCGTGCACCCGTTTGGGTTTACCCGTCCTCGCGGCTCAGAATCTGTTCATCTCCGTCTGGGATCCGAGCAAACTCCTTCTCCCTCTTCTTCTTTTCTTTCTTCTCCTTCTTAGACAAAGTTCTTTTGAAGTTCTGCATCACTCCATCTTTTTCCTTCTCCGGTCCGTTACTTTGACTCTTCTGGCGAGAATCAAACAAAAAGTAAATCAGAGCAAAAATGTTTCTGAAAAAAACAAACCAGGAATCAAACAAATAAAGCAGAAGGACTTTGGACGGATAGGCGGACAGACGGACGGAGGAGTGAATGTATGGACAGACAGACGTACAGATGGACGGATGATAATTGGATGGATGGATTTCAGGGCTAATCAGTCAGAAACTCAGCAGCTAATGCTAAAGCTAAAGCTGCGTCTCTGTTTCATCTCAAAGCGAGGCGGTGTGATGCGGTGTGATGCGGTGTGATGCGGTGTGATGCGGCGCTCTGTGTCTCACTTTAGGCAGGATGTCATTCTCGTTCTTCAGGACGAAGCGTCCCTCCCTGTCGTCTTTGTTCCAGTTGAGCTGAACCACCAGCGGCTTCTCGTCCAGGTCCAGCTGGCGCTCTTCTGAAACACAAAGCCAGCGGTTCATGCAGCAGTCGGCTGACCGGGCCGGAGCCGCGCGGCCCACAGGACTCACCGCCGCTGACGTGGACCTCGTACAGCGAGTACTTGGGCGATGACAGCATCCTCATGTCCGGCCTAAATTTCTCCGCCAACGTCTCGATGACGTCCTGCGTCGTCGCCGTGCTGGAGACCCGGATGCACTTTGTGGCGAAGTTCCCGGCCACCCGGTCCTGGAAGTAGAACCGCATCACGCCATGGAACTCCAGGTC